TACTACCCTATCAAATAGATGGTGATACCGTCCTTAAGAGTTCAGTATTATAAAACAACTTTTCATTTTGATAGAGTATTGTTCTCTGAGCTTGATGGTTTGGTCATGGAGCTTTCATCGTTCTTCTGAACGACATTATTAGCACAAACTTCAGGTACTTGAAGTTTTTGAAAGCTCCACAACCAAACCATTCAGCTTAGAAAACAAAACTCCGTCAAAACCATCCACCTGAGCTGCGAATAATTTTCCACTATCTCCACTGTTTATTGTTCTCAATTATTCAATAGCAAACTAAATAATATCGGTCCATGAGTAAGACAACACACAATCTTGACTGATTAGTTTAAAAGGACTCATCATACCTTAGAATTAAACTCTTTTTAATTATGACCATTCAGATATTAAAGGTCAGACAATCCGTGAGTCATAAACAACCCATAACCTCATACAAATATATGTCGATCGAAGTTATCAAAACTCACATGAGTACTGCGATAAAAAAATTTACTGGATGATGGAGAATGAAGGAGAAACAATATCAGCTTCAGAAATAAATTAAATAAAAGCAATACAGTTTGAAAATGATAAAAATGTAGGAGTGATATTAACTTCAGGATATAGAAGTTAATAAGGCATGAATAGATCTGAACCCTCGTAATCGATCTTAAGCCATATTACTCAATGTTTTTCCCCATGGAAAACGACTATTGCACGAATTACAAATAAAAATTTCGGGTAATTGGGTTCAACAGTCATTGAAATTACCAGCTGATGGTATGTTTTGGTTTAGAAGATCCTAGCTTCCGTTCAACTTCTAAGCCAAATATGAGTGTAAGCAGCAGCTAAGTATATGTAATACATGTTTAGATTTACTAAAACAAAAGTATTTGTCATCATTTCTGTCTTACATCATACGCCTAATATTATTCAATTGGTAATTCCATATATACATGAAGAATCTTTTAAGACACCTACGATGAAAAAGTTTAATTTCCAATTAATATCAGAAGTGTTTTTTTGGAGATTGTAGTAATTTCAATAGTTGAGATCATGAGTCAATTGAGGCTATACCACCTTTGAAAACCTGGAAGCAGTAGACGGCTGTTTCATCCTATTATGGGACTCCTCGTCAGTGCACATCCACGATTCCGCCTCGCGTGATTCGAACTTAGGACCTATCAGTCTCGCGCGCGAGCCCTTAACCTTTAAACTACTGAGTTAGCCGGCACCCAATGGTGTTATTGTCTAACTTCAACTAATCCACGAAATTGAGCGACACATCCACCCCCAATTGTCGTCATAAATTATGTTTCACAACTGTGATTGAATAAAAAGTGAAATCTTAGGCAGTATGCTCATTATTTTTCAAAAGTAGATTAGATATATTATCCGTTAATATATATATATCAGTGCTGCTTTATTACCGAAAACTACAGATTACAACATGTTACCTAGTGATTAATTCTCTATTTTTTGTATTTAAACAAATGTAACTCATTTTTATGTACTTATATAACTAATCACCATGGATATATTGAGTTAAGCACCATTTTTTCTCATAAATCCATACTGAATAAATTCGAATAGAATTGATGTGATAGATATTCACAACTCAAATTGATTGACGCTAGAATATTTTGAAAAACTCAACAACAACAACAACAACAAAAAACTATTAGATACGATTAGTCTCCATATAGTAGAGATTTTCTCATCAACTCTTAATAATAATAATAATAATAATAATAATAATAATAATAATAATAATAATAATAATAATAATAATAATAATAATAATAATAATAATAATAATAATAATCGTACTGTCTACCATGAAGATTTAGCCAGTTGTTTCTATGGCTATATTTTTAAAAAAATCGATATATTTAGTAATATTCACTTAACATTTGGTCATAATTTATATTATTGTTTCTATGTAGTCAAAGTTCATTTATCTTTAGTTACTAAGAGGGTTTTTTTCTAAAAAAATTCCTATAGATAAATGTAAACTGTCTTTTTTTTCTATCGTCGAAATTCTAACATACCATTAAAATAAAACATGTAAGAAGTAGCAGTTAATGTTTTTAATAAGGCATTTAAAAAAAAACGAGACTAAAGTTTATACATTCCAATTAGTAATTATCTAATGAAAATAGAACGAAACGGCCATCCAGTGCTTCCAGGTTTTCAATGGTGTTCTAACTTCAATTCACTCATGATCTCAACTATTGAAATTACTATAATATTCACAAAACCCCTCTCTGATTATAATCACCATATGCTCACTAGTGACAGTCTCCAATACATATTTGCTGGAATTCTAGTGAGAAACAGTGACCAGTGGAGCAACTCAATGAAGACAATGATGGATATGTCGCTCAATTTTATGGATTGGTTGAAGTTAGACATCAACACCGTTGGATCCCGGCCGGCTCAGTGGTCTAATGATTAATCGCTCTTGCAAGAGACCGAAAGGTCCTGGGTTCGTATCTTGCGAGGCGAGATCGTGGATACACACTGCTGAAGAGTCCCACAGTAGGACCGTCAAACAACGCTTCTAGGTTTCACATGATGGTCTAGCTTCAATTGATTCATGATCTCAACTATTGTAATGACTATTTATTTAAAAGTAAAACAGAAGATATCATGTTTCTGCAGTTCAATTGATTTCAGAAAATTCCATACATTGAGGATTTGTATTCATTGAAACATGTATTTATTGATCAAGTCTTCTGTGTATGAGTTTTGCTTTGAGTATCAAGAATAAATACTATTGAAAGCATTTATTAACAAAACAAAGCTGTTAAAAGGACTATGTTATTTAATAATATCTATTTGATTTTTATGAGTGAAGTATCGTTTAAAAAGCCTCGGTTATAAAGTTGAACCTTTGTAAATAAACATATTGACATCTCAATAGTTGAAATCATGAGTCAATTGAAGCTAGACCACCATGGGAAACCTGGAAGCACTGGACGGCCATTTCGTCCTAGTATGGGACTCCTCAGCAGTGGGCATCCACGATCCCGCCTCCCGCTACATTTGAACCCAGGACCTATCAGTCTCGCGCGCGGGACTGGTGAGTGACTTCAAGAGGCATTTCCTGGAGTTCTGGTGAGAAGCCGTTACCAGCGGAATTCAACCAGGTCTGTTGTGAGATATTAACTCACTGAAAACAATCGTGTACGGTGGCGCAACTTCGTGGATTGGTTGAAGTTAGACATTAACACCGTTGGATGCCGGCTAACTCAGTGGTCTAATGGTTAGGCGCTCGCACGCGAGACTGATAGGTCGTGTGTTCGATTGTCGCGGGAGGCGGGATCATGGATGCGCGCTGCTGAGGAGTCCCACAATAAAACGAAACGGCCGTCCAGTGCTTCCAGGTTTCCCATGGTGGTCTAGCTTCAACTGACTCATGATTTCAACTATTGGAATTTCTAAAAATCTCCACAAAACCGCTTCTGATATTGATATCTGTTAAGTAGGTTGTATGCTTCAGAATAACAAGATATACAGATCAATTTATTCTAATGTCTTACTCTATTATTTTAATAAATCTAAACGTCGTCAGAATTGTCAATCATAGAAACATAATGGGTTGATAACCTAGTAATACAGGTAATCAACCTTCTACTACTAGGTCATAGGTTCTAATCCCGTTCTAACTATTTTGACTAAAACAACTGGATGATATAATTAGTGTTTAAACCTACAGTGTAGCTCAGAATTGAATGATATTACTTAGAAGTAGTTATTATTTATTGTAATTGTTTGAGAGTAACTCCGTGATGTTTATAAAAACAAGTGATAACTGATTTATACATTCAAAAACCAAACCGAATTTCTACTAAACATACTTTAACGTATAGAATGATTGATGGAGTGAATAATAATGGGAGATGATACGAAAAGTTCCCTGGTCACCAATGAAGTGATGAACAGAAATAAAATTTTCTGATCGAGAAAACATTACAATCCCCGCTGATATTCAAAATTGTTTGAGAAACAATGATGTTTTCATGAATAGTGTGACAAAGGCTTTTTGTTATTTTAATATTTGCGATCATGAGTCAATTAAAGCTAGACCATCATGGAAAACTTAGAAGCACTGAACTGCCGTTTCGTTTTATTTTGGGACTCCTCAGCAGTGCGCATCCACAATCCCGTCTCGTGAGATTCGAGTCCAGTACCTACCAGTCTCGAGCGCGAGCGCTTAGCCATTAAACCACTGAGTTAGCTGGCATCCAACGGTGTTAATGTCTAACTTCAACTAATCCACGAAATTGCGCAACACACCCACCATTGTCTTCGATGAGTTACTATCTTGTTATTTTCTCGAAATATTTCATACTACTCACAAGTAGGTGAGCCATGAAGCGAAGAATTTAACATACATAGTTTGATGAATTTAGGTATGAACAATTGATTAGTAATAATGAGAATTTAACATGCTATAAAGTAAATAATCGAAACTAAAAAGAAACAGAAATACTAACACCAGTTACCATGTGCATAATGAACAGAAAGAAGTTAACAAAAACATAAACTGGAACAACACATATAAGTGAATAATTAGACTGTCATCAATGTATACGAATAACAACATCAAATATGAAAACCTGTTCATAGAAACAAAAATTATTACCAACAACTGTTTGTTAATTTGTTATCTTTGGTTATACTCTTGTGATATATATATATATATATATATATATATATATATATATATATATATATATATATTCCATTTAATAGTCTGTGGTTATTAAAGCTGTCTATGAGACTACACCGATCAATATCAAGTAAAGATATTTTGGTTAACACCATTGACCATAACGTTCACCCAGTTGAATTACATAACCCAATGTAAAATGTGAATTATTATATATTAAAAGGAAGTGTCTTACCATTTTTAATTGATTAATAGTATCTAAGCAGTAAATCAATTTATTAAATTTTATAACTGCACTACAATTTAAGAATATAAAAACTCAAGTTACCTGTTCGATATGGTACATTATCTTTTCTTTTTTTATGTTGATCTAATTCACTGGATTGTTTCGACTGATTTAATACTTCATCAGTGTTTTTTGTAAGATTTTCTCTCTTGCCTTCTTCTTCATCATCATCATCATTATCTTTTGTATATGATTGCTTTTTTATTGATAGTCTTGACTGTTTACCATCACATTCTTTTAAGGGTTGTTTAATTTTACTTGGATTGGACTGCTTTGAATGATGTGGAATTTCTCCAACAGATTGTTCGACATCCAGATTATTTGCTTCATTTGAAGGATGTTGTTTACGCACACTTTTAGATGGATATTTCTCTTCCTGTTTTATGTCAGGTATTTTTACAATATTATCTTTATTATTTCGGTCTTGTTGTTGTTTTTCAATGATTGATTTCTTATGAGTATCTTTTAAACTATCAATTTTATTCAGTTGATTACTATCCAATGGTTTTGTAGGATCTTTCTGATCACTTAATTTGTAATGTGCTTTAGGTAGTTTAGAAGCGATGTAATCAGAAGTTATACTGTCCTTCTTTATGGGCTTCTTTGAAGGGTCATCAGAATGCCTATATTTCATTTTGTCATCAGTTTTGTAGGAGTTCCGTTTTTCATTTAAAGACTGATGTCTTTTCAAATCAGATTTTTGAGGTTGAGCCTGAGGAACGACGTCAATCATACCATCTTGTAATAGTTGCCTTGTTTGATATCTACTATTTTCAACCCAAGATGAAATACGATCATTTTTTGAAGTTATAGATGTATGAGGTTTGTTCTGTTTATATCTTAGTGACTGATGATGTGTTTTATTTCGTTTAACAAGTTCACTTCGTCCTTGACCTTTCACAGATTCTCCATGGTTTTCTTCTGAATTACGTGAAGCTTTTGTATCCAAAGGTTGTGTTTTCGGATTTTCCGTTTTTATTTGTTGCTCCATCTTACTCTTATTGGTATGTTTGTCTTCAAAGCTATGTTTAGGAGCAAGTGGAGTTCCAATTTGGCCTTCATTGTTATGTATTGGCTTTCTAAACTTTGAATCTCTTGAAAAAACTTTTGACTCGTCATGAGACAGATGGCGACCTTGATGATGGCTATGCTCTTCATCCACTGGCAGGTTATCTGAAATCATATTCTTTTTGAATTTCGCAAATGACATTGGACCGTCACATGAACGTTTATGTGTATCACCAGTGGATTTCTCCAAAATTTCATCCTTTGTAGAACTTTTATGATGATGAAGTGGAGGAGGAGGATGTCGATGATGCTTTAATTCTTGTTGTTTTAACATCTGATCATTGAGATGATCTTTATGTGGTTTTCCAGAAATCTTATCATCAGTGACAATTTGATGTGTAATGTCAGGTTTTAAATCTTTATGCTTACTTATTCGATCATATTGTTCTAAACGTTTATTGATGTCTAATACAGAGGGTGGTAAATTCGGAATCCCTTCAGGTTTTGACGGTTTTTGAACATCAAACTTTGTAACTTCTTCATCTCTAGTTAAATTATTCCCTTGTTGATCAGACAATATATCACTTTGCATTAGTTTATTTCCTTGTTCATTAATTTCTTTCATTGGCTTAGATAAAGATTTATGTTCACCTAACTCATCAGTAGTAGTTTTACTATCATTTCCTTTGATTGAAGTCGATTTTCTATCTATTTGTTTTCTATGCTTCTCTATTTGTTCCTCATATGCCTTTGCTAATATACTTAAACTTGATGTACTACTTAATTCATCCATTTTTAATGATTTTCTTTTACTCAATCGATTCATTTCATCATAATATGCTTTATTTAGGAGGTCATCAGTGTTGAATTTCTCATTTTGATTTATTTCTTTAATTCGTTGTGAATTCTTCTCATTAGTAGTAATTGTTGTGTAAGATTTGTATGGTTTTAAAAAGAGAAGATGTAAATTGTCTGTAGATTTTACAGATAATGTGTCTTGATTTGATATTAGTTTTACATCAGTTTTTGCTTCTGTAGTTGGTGATAACGGTTTGAATTTATCATATATAAAATCTTTCAATGTATCATTCATTGAATCATATTGTTTAGTAGTTGTTTCATTTTTGTTAATCGGTTCATCAGCTATGAAATAACTTTTTGGAAGACTCCAATATTTTTCTGATCGTTCAACGTATCTATTTAGATAACTTTTGAAATGATCACCTTTAGGACTTAGTAATGAACTTAGATCAGTTGATGATGGATATAATTGTGGTCCTGTTAAAATAGGTGATTGATTTTGATCAATATCTAAAAGAATTCTATTCTTTGTTGAATAGTTTATTTCAGATGATGCTTTGTATTTAGTGAATGTTTTTATAAATTCCTCACTTCTATCAGTTGATGGATCATCTACTTGATGATGTTGTTTGTTTGGGTTTCAATGTGTAATAAGGTGGTGATTAGATAACGTTGGCAAGTGTTGATGTGGTGGAGGATATAAATCAAGAAAGTAAGACGAATAAATATACAACATAAAATTTACAACAACAATGGTAGTTAGTGATATAACATAGACAACATGAAAGAAAAACATTCCTAAACAACACAAAGTAAGCACAAGTAATAACAATAACCATTACCAATTACCATTGGAACTATATTGTAAGTGATAAACTTATTCAAGACTTAAATTGTTTAATTATATCCTAATTGAAATAAATACAAAGGTTTTGACTAAAGTGGTCAAAATAACGCCGTAACTATCCTTGTGTATGTATAATAAATGTGATGATAATGTGAATATCAATTTGACGTTGACTGGTGCGCTAATAAACTAATTCAGTGATAACGTGTGTCCTATGTGTAGTTAAAACAACTTTGTTACAGTTTCATATGAAGGTTGTGAGTGTGTAAGTCGTGCGCGATGTTTACTAGATGGAAAAGACCAAACAGGATTGTTTTTGCAATATGTTTTTATTAAAAAGTTGAAGGGTGTTAAGGTTGAATGTATCCCCTAAATCTTTAGTGTGATTTTTTGAACTACTTTATTTCTTTAAAGTAGTAAAAAAATAACATAATCATTTATTTAACTTCGCATTGTTTACTTGAATCTTCCCATCGATATTTAGGACTATAATTGATCAGTCTCTTATTGGCATCGCGTTTGAAACGACTGGAGTTAGGTCCAAGTCCCAGATGCAAGTACATCTAGCTGACGAGTGCCAAATAAGATGAAACGCGCGTCCTGGATTCCACTGCTAGCAATTATCTATCTTTGCTCATAATAACCATTTATTATTTATCTGATTTCAGTAATCATTCTTCTTTGAAACAGTAAAATTAACTTTCTTCTAAGATGAAAATAATTTTGCCATAAGTTGAAAATAGTTATATTAATATATTGCAAGCAGGACCTAAAAGTTCAAACCTTGAATAAAACTGAGTATGGTCGGAAATATCTCTTAATCCTTCGTACAGAGCTGAATGAACTATGTGAAGTCAGTCAGTCAAGAACAACGTAGAACTTCGTACATACATATATCAGTCCAAGTTGCCATTCCAAATTCCTTCGAACTACTTATTTTTTATCCAATGAAATATTTGTGGTAACAAATGGTGTAAAAATTACTTTAACTTGACTTCTTCACATATTTATGTGCACAGAAGAAATTCATGAACCCCTATCCCTTCCATAGCCAGTTATCACTTAACAAACGATTTTTTTTATCACTAACATTATTTTCACACCCGATAATTGTTTGTAATTTGCCACCTCTTTCCGTTTGTATTATTCACTATCTAATTATTACCAAACTTCTTATTACATAATGGTTTTAATGTTTTGTGATGACTATTCTAAGTCTCAGTAGTTGAAATCATGAGTCGATTGAGGCTAAACCACCATGGAAAACGTGGAAGCACTGGAAGGCTGTTTCGTCCTATTATGGGATACCTCAGCAGTGCGCATCCACGACCCTGCTTCCCGCGAGATTCGAACCCAGGACCTATCAGTCTCGCGCGCGAGCGCTTAGCCAAGCGCTTACCACTAAGTTTATTTACCCACGTTTGACCTTTTATTTCCAATGTTTAACTATTGATAAGACTTTTGTTATCGTATTTTATTATTCTTACTACGATCAGTACACCTGTATTTCTTATTTATTTTATTTTAACACATAGACATTGGTACAAGGAGGCACCAAATACATATGCGCCACACAAATCTCATTCGATATGTGTGAGGGCTGTGATACTGCCCGGGCGCCCAAACCGAAGCAGGTGGTTTTCTTAGGGGGCCACACCCCAAGCCTTTGACCTGAAGGTCTGATCCACAAGGCAGTGGAGCATCGTGAGAAAATGCAGTCCCATGGTAGCCGGTGACCAATGATTGGTTCATACGCCATTTGTTCCCGCAGGATACTGGAGCCCATGTGCACCATCAGTTTGGGATCCGGTTAAAGCGCCGGACATTCGCTTTTCGTTCTCTCATTTTCGTAAACAACACCCCCGCCACGAGAAGGCAGTGAGTAGGACTTCCCTGGCAGATGCTATATACGCGTGGCCATATGAAAGCATTTCGAGAGGGAGATCGGACTCTCCCCACTCTCGGCCGTACCAGGGCATTCTACTATCAACTTGTACATTTACCCATTATGTGTGGTGACTTATTCTATTTCATTATGATTATTGACCCGAACTGCCTTGATTTTTTTAACATTTTCGTATAAATATTCATGTACGTTAGAGTAAAGCCTGATGACGAACTAATTGAAAACAATTGTTCGCTTATATGTGTTGTTCTATGCTTCACATAACTTTGGCATTTTAGCGTAAAATCACTGGGTTTCAGTACATGTTTAATTAGGCAATCTTTCAGCATCAGAAGGGGTTTTGTGGAGATTTTAGTCATTTCAATAGTTGAAATCATGAGTTAATTGAAGATAAACCACCATGGATAACCTGGAAGGAGTGAATAGGGCGCGATATTGGATGCGCACTGCTGACGAGTCCCACAACAGAACGAAACGGCCTTCCAGTGCTTCCAGGTTTTCCATGGTGGTCTAGCTTCAATTGACTCATGATCTCAACTACAATTTTCTTTGTTTCTTCAATAATTCTTAGTAAAATTCAAATAAGAAAAGTATTTCTTTAATGGGACTGTAATACATACCTTTATAATAAAAGTCTGAATAACTCGTCTTTTCATGATAGGTTAGATCACTTCCTGTAAAATAATTCAAAGGAATTTGTTGTTGTTGTTGATATAGATTACTTAACATGAAAGTTACAAGTTACTGACTATGAATTTGTGTATGGGTTAGCACAAATTACGCAATCAGTATTTTGTGTGTGTGTATGTGTGTGTGTGGAGGTTATAGCAACTTTGTGATGAGAGGGATTTCTCAAACTATTCAATAAAAAAACGGCATTTATGCTAATTTTACTCACCACATACTTATATAACATTAGATATATATGTGAACACACAACATAAGTGCATAGGCAATGAACAGAAACACAATGGAGAAACATCACACAGCACTCAAAAAATTAGGTGAAAGATGGTAAACACAAAAAAAAACGGGATGTTTATATGTAAATCATAATAAGTGATTTATAGAAGTTAATCACCAATTTCAACCAAATTGGATTATAAAAAGAAAAAGTTACCAGCCAGTAAAGATGTATTTCATTGATTTATGTTAAATAACTCTTGGAATTGTTAGTATGCAAGAGATCAATGAATGTAGTAACTACTTAAAACTTTCTACATCAATAATTTGATTGGTTAATTTTTATTACTCTCTTAAGTTATCATGTGATGTGTGCTGTTGTTGTTGACAGTTATAAGTAGTATGTATCATCAATCGAAAGTTTGATTTTAGTTTTATTCAAATATATCAAATAGATACATGATTAGATTTTGAAGATTTGTAGAGCTTTATAACTATATATATCTCTTGAATGTCTTGTATGATTTTGTTATATTGAGACTAAAGTAGCTTCTACAATGAAGTCAATCAATGTTAAATGATTCATATCTTAGATTTTAGCTAAAAGAGATGTTCAGAACTTGTGCTTAGCTCTGTATGAAGTATATCAGCTGAGTATACCTACATCCATGCTGATTTTCATACAGATACTCAAACCATATAAGCATCTCCTCAAGTCAGTGAACAACAGTGATCACATTTGTAATCACAGGGACTATTCGAGGCATTTACTCGAGCAGCCTATATACCAACATAGATTGATCTAATACACTTCTGAATATCAACAATTAAAAAATACAACCATTCGGAAATTGAATTCCTATAGTTTTAATCTATAAACAAACTCATAAAGTTGTTAGATTTGTAATTTGATTTAAACTGCATTTACAATCGAGTAATCGTTCCTATCAATGCAGGTAAAAATCTGGATATTCACAAACAAATCATAAATGGGTAAGATGTTTCAAAATGATACAAAATTATCCACTGTTGAAGTAAAAGGACACACTGCAGCACTCTGGCAGCACAAAAAATGAAGAGAAATACCTGAAGAACGTATTGTAAAAGAACGGCTACCCAATCAACTTCGTCGAAAAATATCAACCACACGCAGCATCAGAACCTAAGTCAAGCACAGAAATCAACAAAAGGATCGCCCTACCATATATAAAAGGCATATCAGAAACCGCAATGAGACTGCTGAAAACCTTCGAAATAGGTGTGGCAAACAAACCGACAAAATCACTACAATCAATCCTATGCAAACTAAAGGATGAAATAACAAAAGATGACAAATCAAATATCATCTACAAAATAATTTGTGACAATTTATATCAATACACGTGGACAACTGCGGACACTCATTTGATTGGAAAATTGTGGAAATCTTGGACAGAGGAAATTCCAAAAACACCAGAGACTTTTTAGAAGCCTGGCACTCAGGTCAATCAGCAATCAACAAGCACATTGAAATCGATCCAATTTATCAACCAGTCAGGAAAATTATGCACAAATATAGGAACAAGAATCAAACCAATGGGAGACACAACCAAAACAAAAAAGCAAACAATGACAAATTCAAGGTCAATAAGAACCGATCAACGTCGGGGTGTACAGGACGAGCTGTGAATCAAATGTTGAGGAATCCGAACACTTCACTTTCATCTGAAGTTTGTGCTGATGATGTCGTTCAGAAGAACGATGAAAGCTCCACGACCAAACCATTCAGCTCAGAGAACAAAACGCCATCAAAGTAAAGGTTTGTGTTTGGATAAACGGTATAATTGGCTAAAACAGTAATCGACTGAGGGTAAGTAAACCACATTCTGAATAATTTGGTAATATATTTCAATTTATCTGTCAGGAAACTGTCAAATGCTCTTAAATTTGAAATATTTGTCAGACTGATAGCTTCTGGGGAGTCCCATACTAGGATGAGACGGTCGTCCAGTGCTTCCAGGTTTTCCATGGTGATCTAGCTTCAATTGACTCATGATTTCAACTATTGGAATTATGAAATTTAAGCTTTAACAACGTTGCATATAGTTATTGTTGTATGCCGATGAGAATGATGAGAACTATTTATGGACCAATACGATACCTATATTTTTGTTGTATAATTGTCAAGTAGCTAAACTATGCATATTCATGTTCCTTCTATTACAAGCTTTATTTTGACCTATAGACTAATATTATACGCGATTTACCATTCTTGAGTTATTACCAGTTTATCAATTACAGTCTCCCACATTCACAGTCACATTTGGTTACATCTTGTACATGTTTTGTTTCCTATTCTATGGTACGATGTGGTCTGTTTGGTTTGTATATAAACCCGGTATATTTGAAATACATGATTCATATCACAGAGGCTGAGATTAGTGTTCTGAACTTAACAGTCAGGGCTAGGCAGGAAGCAGGACCGATAAAGACTCTAGACTACTCGTACGGGTTTTTGTGCGTCACTGGTCCAGTCGATAAATCACTGTTCTCTAATTGGTGGTATTATTACGTTATGTATTAATAGGGCACAAGGCCACAAGTTACAACACATCTAAATATATATTTCTAATAAATGCGTATCATCAAAACTTTATTATGCAAAACATAGGGTGAATAAATCTTGTATCATTCGAATTGCTTCCCATTTATTACAGTACACTAGTGTTATCTATTTTTCCATTGTTTAGAATAATTTTTCATTGAGATCATGAACCGATCAATATTGGACGACCATTGAAGGCCTGAAAGGACTAGACGGCAATTTTGCCCTAGTATGGGACCCTTCGGTAATGCTCATCCACGATCTCGCATACGGGACTGGAACCCAGGATTTTCGGTCTCGCGTGAACGCTTCACCTCCAGACAACTCAGTCGACATCAAACGGTGTTAATATCTAACTTGAACAATAATATCTCCAGAAGTTAGAGTTGTAAGTTGTATTCTGTGGTTTCAAACTAATTTTAACCCCATCTCCATATAACCATTTTCTATTTTTGGAGCAAAAATAAATCATACTTTGAGTTTGCCGAGCAGATAAAGTAGTCCAACTTTAAGATCAAGTTACCAATAACCATGAAATATGTATCAAAAATAAGTGTTTCATGAGGTAACTCTCATACTTTTATCCATTTCCATCTAAATAAAGACAGATTACAAGGATCAGAATGAATTAAGGAGTAAAAGTTAAACTACATTGATATTAGGTGTTTGTTTATTCGTGTCCATATAACTGGTAATCTGAGTAATTCAGTTCAAGTACTTATTAGACAGATCGTATACATATGTAAACAGTGACTTCTCCCAAAATCCTTCATCTAAATTGTGACTGATAGATGAAAAACGGTTTTGTTTGATGTATTTGATTAATTCAGTTATAATATTTAAAACAAAATTGTTATAACCTGTGGCCTTGTGCCCTATTAATACATAACGTAATGTTACCGCCAATTAGAGAGCAGCTAATTATCGATCGAACCAATGACACATACGAGCAGTCTAAAGTCCTTATCGGTCCTGTTAAGTTCAGAACACTAATCTCAGCCTCTGTGATATGAATCATGTATTTCAAACATACCGGGTTTATATATAAACGAAACAGATCACATCGTACCATAAAATAGGAAACAAAACATGTACAAGATGTAACCAAATGTGACTGTGAATGTGGTAGACTGCAATTAATAGACAGGGTATAACTGAAGAATGATAAATCGTATAATAATAGTCTATAAGCCAAAATGAAGCTTATAATTACAGGAATATGGATATACATAGTTTAGTTACTTAACAATTATGCAATAATAATATATGTATCGTATTAGTCCATAAATAAATTCTAACAGTAACTACTCATTATTGTCATCGGGATAGAACAAAAATAGGTTGTGTACTGGATAAAACTAAGTAACAAATATAAGGTGTGTTCCTTTTTTCAAATCCTTAATTATCTGGAGATCTCTTAAGTTTATATAGTATGGAGAAACGTTCTAAGCAAAAAACAAAACTATTAGTCGAATCTAGGGAAACTTTAGCAACATATGATTACTTACTTACTTACGCCTGCTACTCCTCTTGAAGGAGCACAAGCCGCTCAGCAGCGTTCTCCATCCAACCCTATCCTGGGCAGTCCTTTTCAGCTCCGTCCAGTTGTTATTCATCCTTTTCATATCTGCTTCTATTTTCCGACGTAATGTGGCCTTCTTCTTTTACGCTTTCCTTCAGGATTGCAAGTCAGGGCTTGCCTCGTGATGTAGTTTGATGATTTGCGTAATGTATGTCCTATCCATTTCCATCGTCTTTTCTTCATTTCTTCTTCAGTTGGAAGTTGGTTTATTCTCTCCCACAGTAGGTTGTTGCTGATGGTATCCGACCAATGGATGTTGAGTATCTTGCGTAGACAACTATTTACGAATACTTGTACCTTCTTGATGATGGTTGTAGTAGTTCTCCAAGTTTCAGCCCCGTATAGTAGAACTATCTTGACGTTCGTATTGAAGATTCTCACTTTAGTATTGGTTGAAAGTTGTTTTGAGTTCCATATGTTCTTCAATTGTAGAAATGCGGCCCTTTCTTTGCCAATCCTCGCCTTTACGTCTGCATCTGAACCTCCTTGTTCATCGATGATGCTTCCCAGGTATGTAAAGGATTCTACATCTTCCAGAGTTTCGCCATCAAGAGTGATTGGATTGCTATTCTCCGTTTTGAATTTAAGGACAATATATGATACATTAATTAAAAAAGATAACACAAAGCAACTTTAAAGGCACAAACTAATCTATTTCCATTAAAAAAAAAGTTATAAGCTAGAAGAAAACTCGAGGAATCAAAGTGATTAACAAAAGCTAATCAAACGCATAAATATAGGCAATAAATCACTAGAGTCATATTATGCAATATATAGATATAGATATTACATTGTTGCTATGTGCTAATCAAATGATTGTGCAGTTTTAAATCAACCTAAATTTATAAGCATATGGTTTACACTCGCATGGTGAAGATAGAAGAAAACAATTAAAAAAAGCCAGATGTATAACTCATATTCACCGTTTCTAAACTCTGCATGAATATCTCGTTGCTGTTGTTGTTGATCTTCTACTATGGAAGAATTTGAAACTATTCTTGGACTAACTGGTTGAGAATAATAAAGTAATGCATGTTTTGTACGTGGTAACGATGTACACATTCTATGTCTAATTGATTGTTTCATATTCATATCATATTGTACATTATTATTATTATTGTCTAATGAATTATGTAAATCATTGACATGGATAATCATATCATATTTATTATTATATCTTGGTAATGTTTTACTATATCGATGTATATTCAATTCAGTAGTAGATAATTGTATTGGTATATAAAATGAATAAGTTGGTTCACGATTTAATATTAATTCATGTTTTGCAAATTTATTGAATAATTCTTTCATCATCATAGGATTATTGATTTTATTAGTAATCAATTTATTATTATTATTTTGATGATATGAGCTTATATTTTTAATAGTGATTGGAAAACGTGAATAAGTTGATTGATAGATATAAGCTTGTTCCGATGATTGTTCTATATTCAACTTATCAATTAGAAATGATATCGATGATTGATTATTGTTGTTTAATTCAGTATATTTCACGGTGTTATCTATTAATAATTGTTCAAATTGTTGATGATTTAAATTGGATGTCTTCAATTTAGTTATATCATTCATTGAACTACTCTCTATAAGTAGACAAGAATGTATGGTTTGTTTGTGTTGTGTTGATTGTTTTTTTTCGCATGGAAAAAGGATAAAACAATAACTAGGTGATGTGTTCTTGATGAGAAACGGAAATAGAAAACTAACTATATCAGTATCCATTTATTGGTGTAATATATATATGTATACCCATAAACATACATTCAGGTATATCACAGCTATTTGTGTTATCGACGAAATGATTGAGATCATGAACCGATTGATGTGAGACTATCATTGAAAACCTGGAACCACTGGACCGCTGTTTTGTCTTATTGTGGGACACCCAGCAATGCGATGGAAGATGGTCGCGCAATTTCGTAGATTGTTTGAGGTTAGATATTAACACCGTTGAATATCGACTCAGTGGTCCAGACGTTAAGCGCTCGCGTGCGAGACCGGTAGGTCCTAGGTTCAAATCTCGCGAGGCGGGATCATGGGAGTGCGCTCCTGAGGAGCATCACAATAGGGCGAAACGGCTGTCCAATGCTTCAAGGTTTTCAATGATGGTCTCACATCAATTGGTTCATGATCTAAATCAAAAACTTAATACTCTCCACAACCCCATACTGATAACTATCGAAAAAATATCAATATACCAATATTTATATATTCAATTAGTTGAGTGAGGAATGCTACACTCTGTGTAAATTCAGGACATTTTTTTACAAAATTGCAAATTTAATGATTACTTTTGATTAAAGAATGCAATGACCAATTCATTAGACTTTCAACTGTTAACTATCAGGATATATACAACTGAAGAACATTTGAAGCTCAAAGCAACTGTCAACCAACACGAAAGTCACAAATATCAAGAGAATTCTACTGTATGGGGTGGAAACTTGGAGAACTACGAAACCCATCATCCAGAAGATACAAGTGTTTATTAATAGTTGTCTACGCAAAATACTTCAGATCCACCGGCCAAACGTAATCAGCAATAACGTATTGCGGGAGAGATCAAACCACATCCCAGCGGAGCGAGAAATCAGGAAGAAGCGCTAGAAGTAAATAAGACACACATTGAGGAAGGTAGCCAACTGCATCACGAGGCAAGCCCACATTTGGAATCCTCAAGGTCAAAGGAGAGGCGGAAAACCGAAGTACACATTACACCGAGAAATGTAGACAGACATAAGAATGAACAACAATTGGATAGAACTAGAAAGGAAGGCCCAGGACAGAGGAGGATTGAAGAATTCTGGTCGGCGGCCTATGCTACATTGGGGGTAACATGTATAAGTAGGTAAGTAATCTGCAAAGTGAAAATTTCGATTACTAAGGGACTTTAATAAAAAATTAGAGATAGTATAAAATGAGACTAATCACCAATTTTAAAACATTCACCAAAAAAATGCATGAAAACAATCGATTCTAATGAACAAAACTAAGGTAAAATAACAGAACTCCTTATACTAAAATAAGTATCATGTGCTTCTTGTTGATTAATTTCAAAAGGCAATTCCTGAAGTCCTAGTGGGAAGGTTCAGCCTTGTTAGGTGTGAAACACTAGCTTGATTGGTTATGCGATATCGCAGTATAAGTGAAATTAGGAATGTTAACCATTCGATGACAAGTCAGTGATCTAAAGGTTGTGTCCAGTGAGAAAATTGTAAGTCCGCTGTTTAATCCCCGGCGAAGCCATTGATATTCACTGCTCAATAGTTTCATACTACATCAAACCTGAAGTGTTTTTTAGTTATCTCTCATATTACATTTTTTCCAATACAATTCGTTATCAATATTTCGTACACATCTTAAACTCCAGAAATGCAGACCAACAATGTATAGTATTTGTATTCAAAATAAATTAAAAAAACTTTTTTCACTCTACTAGTCAACATTTTCTATCTCTTACTCCATAGTACTTTTCCATCTAGAAGATAATTATTCACAAAACACTTTATCCTTGAATGTGACAGAACTTCAATTAACTGTTTTTCAAAGTTTTAATTTACTTTAGGTATTAGAACAAACAAAAAAGGAAAATTCTATACTGTGTCCTTGGTGGGTGCTGCTGATGTCGACAGATATAAGTAGTTTGTATTGCCAGTTAAAAGCGGAATGCCTAGTGGCAGAAGGTTGAGAAAATTGAAGAAAAGGGAATGAGAACAGAGAGCGATTGGTATGGAGATGAAGGAACAGTCAAGTCTGAGAAAATTGATGAATATTTTGCAAATGAAGTATTAACTGTATGATTCTCAGACTTGACCAAGATATTTCGTAATGTTGTCAAAATACGACTGCTTGTCCTCGCCTGTTTTCTCGTTCACTGTATATCATTCGAACTAATTATAAGACCATTTTTATTGTAATAGTTATTAACTTCATCTAACTGGGAGATTTTCTCAAACTTCTAGATTGCCGCTTTCTTAGACATCCATTTATTACTAGGAATTCGCCTCTTTCAGGATTGTTTTTTATCAACAACCTGTCTGTCAACAAGGTAAACCCATAAGTATTTATAAATGTTTACAATTTATCCGAAATCTAATTAATGAAGAACTCAAACGGTCCCATTACAGTGGTTCATATATTTCCTTTCTTCTTTATCTTTTGAGAAAATGCCTGAATACCGATTATCATGACGCGCAACTCTGACTGTTGTTCGGGATGGTTGAAAGAAAGTTAGGGGTGGCCAAACCAAAACGTGGCATCAGTGCTTAAAGTCACTAACTTTAGTCTGAGTCATGTTGGTAGATGTAGACTACTTGGTTGGCGTTCGCGTGACTATCGTAACCAATAGTTGGAGACTGTGTGTGACATGGCTCAGAATAAATCACAATGGCATAGGTGTATACACTCTATATCTTCCTTTGAACTACGAGATTAAAATCGCTTCATATCTTACTTTCTATGGAATAATTCTGTCTTCCTGTACCATATCCTTATATGCCATCTTTCTTTTATATATTATCACCATTGAATTACCCACTTCTATAAACCTGGTGTTCATGCTGTTGTGCTAATGAGGTATGGCATCTTGGACCGATGTATATATGTGCCTGATCCTACGTTGTAGCTAACTGACTGACAGAATTTATACATCGCACATAGTAGGCATAGATATCATGGGCACAAGATTATTCTTGAGCTTATTAGACATTTTTTAGAATATTCCCCGGTTGGATGCTTATAAAACGCGAATTTGTTAGAATATTGCATATTTTGTACTGAGAATTATATACAGTAATCAAACAAATGGTATTGATTAGAGGGAGTATTATATTATGACTATTAGGCGTAGTATATTTTCTCATAGTAGAAATTGACTAGCTGTAATTGATTTTAATGAAAAGTAAAAATTCTAAACTGAAATTAAGTTTTTTTCAAGGATTAGCACCAACTGAACAACTATTGAGAGCTAATAGGGAGATGGTAATGGTTTCGTCCTAATGTAGGACTCTTCAGTGTTGTACACTGACGATCTTTGAAAAGAATAAAAATCCGAAGTGGAAATGAAACAATTGTTCAGGGTTTCTTGATTTCGAAATGATTATGAGTGAATATTTATGAAATAAAGTTAAGTCATGCAAGCATTCCTTTTCAGTGTATTGAACGGTGGGATTCATGGGGAGCATTTGTCCTTACTTGCGACTAGTTAGATTAATGTACTAAAATGTTTTCGTAATATTGCCGTAATTTTAATGAGAATCAGTTTGGGACCACATAACAAGATAGATGGATGTCAACAACCTCAAATCTAGTACGAAATTGTTATATTTTGCATCAGAACATAGGAAAACTAGTAAACAACTAAATGACTAAAACAACTAAGTGAATATGTTATAAACAGTAGTAAAAATAATGACATCATGATATGAAACGAAGGCTGATGTATCAGATTATGTTCAAAACTAAAAGAACGATTAAAACAATGCAAATGAACCTCTTTCACCGTAACTGGTCTCTATTCATATCACTTACAGTCTTCAACTAGTGATTACAGTTATGCCATGAATCTCAATAAAAAAACCTACACTTATCAGCACAGCTTAGATCAGTAGTAATTGTCTTCACAGTAAGATATCACACCCTTGTTGTTCCTCCTTAGTTCACGATGGAAATATTGTTTGATACCAGTTGAATGTGTTTTTATGCTCTACTCTGGAACATAGAAACGAATATGAGCGTCACATAATTGTCAGTCGTTCACGCAATCAGTCACTCAAGAACATATAAACTTAATGTAGTCTGTCTACCTGTTGATGATTCCGTATGGAAATTCGTATACATAATTATTTGTCATTTGTATACTATTCAAATTATTTTATCATAAGCAAAGATGGATAGTGGTTAGCAGTGGAATCCAGTTTGATGCAGGTTTCGCCCTATTTGTGACTCGTCAGCTGGATGTGCCTGCATTTCAGGGTTGGTGTTCACTCTGGGGCTCAAACCCAATACCATCCGCTTCGAACGCCATCGCGTTATCCACTTAACTACTGAGTCCTGAGGTGAAGTTTAAACTCACTTAATATTGGTTGCTTGAGTCTTCTCATTGATGTTTAGGATTGCAATTGATCAGTCGCTTATTGGCATATGTGAATACTGTGCGATGGAGTTCGAAGCGGACGGCATTGGGTTCGAGTCCCAGAGTGAACGTCAACTGTGAGATGCAGGTACATCCGGCTGACGAGTCCCAGATAGGACGAAACGCGCGCAAAACTGGATTCCACTGCTAGTCACTATCCATCTTTGCTTATAAAGCTTGTGACTTCAGGTAATATCAAGGCAGTCCGTACAGGATGCACATATGCTAACAAGGGACTAATCAACTGGAGTCCTAAATAATAATGGGAAGATACAAGTAAACAACACCAAGTAAATATAGGTTTTATCATAATTTTGAAAATAAGTAATAGTTATATTTCATGTGTGCCAAAATATTTCATTAATACAATGTCAAGATGAATGATATGATGATCAGTGAGGTGTATCTCTCTTTTTTATATCTTGGTTCCATCTTTATGATGTATCACATAACAGAATTATATACACACAAACGCATATATTTATAAATTCAGCATTCATTTCTTCGAATCAATATGCTAATTTGGTAAATGACAATAGAAGTTTGTTTTTTTTTGATGAAAAATAGATTGATCTAGTTTCTACTCAATAATGTCTATCACTTATATCTGGTGTTTGTATTAATGTGCGTTGTGTTGTGTGTGGTGTTTCTTTAATATCAGTCTCGAACTTAATTCAAACAAAAATGAACATAGAAACAAATGTTAAAATTGAAGAGAGTATCAGGTGAATGAACATTGATTAGTTCATAACTTACAAGGGTACATGTAACATGAGAATCCGTCGGTGGCTTTATCCGAATCCTTCAAATAACAACCATAAAATCAGTTAGTGATCTCCGACGTAGTCATGTGATTTGTGTTAGATGGTTGGAGAAAATGAGCTAAAAGACTCACATTTGTTTCGCTTTTATTAGTACACGTCATTAAGGCGTATCTACAATTTTCATGGAAATGATGATGTCCAGGTAATTGTAATATAGATCAATCTATATCATAGTTAGAAGTATTAACAGTAAGCGGCTTAGGCAAAGAATGATCTTCAGTGAAACTGAGGTATCAAGTTTGCTTATTTTTTGGAGGTGACTAGATTGTGTTGATCATATTACAATGAAGTAACTAATACGACCAACTGGAAATCATGGTCAACCTTTTTGTTTGATACCAGATGATTGGTAGGAATCAGCAGAAAACCGTGGACTTGTGTTTTAAATTACTCAATGTGAATTTTCACTATATTCAATGTGAATTCTCAATAAGACAATAACTCCGAAAATAACACTGTCCATACAAATCGCTTTCACAATAAGAGTTCTGATGAAAGACTAACACTCAGTGAGAATATCTCTATTATGTGTACAAAACTGATTCAATCTTGGTAAGATAATAAACAATATGTAAAAACGAATGAGGTGTTAACAATAAGCCAAGCAATAAAGATAACAACCTCAATCAAAATTTGTATTCATTCATGAGGGCTCTGACTACCGTTATGTTAAAGATTACTGAATGTCTAAAGTTTAAAATGTATCGTGAGAATTTTATCACCTTAGATTCTGTAGACTGTAATCATAGAATTTATGTGAAATTTTTGTACAAAATGTGATACTCTATTAATTTTTCCAGACAAGTATAAGTGAGTCCGAATTCACAGAATGATTGAGTTTAAGGAAACTATAAAATGACTATTTCCAGTTCATCAATTTTGTGATACCGATGACAAATTTAGGAACAATTTCATACATAAAGCATTCAATACATTTGAAAAATTTCAATAGTTGAGATCATGAACCGATCGATATGAGATCACCATGGAAAACCTGGAAGCACTGGAAGGCCGTTTCGTCCTCTTGCGGAACTCAGCAGTGTGCATCCACGATCTCACCTCGCGAAATTCGAACTCAGGACCTATCGGTCTTGCGCGCGAGCGCCTAACTATTAGACCACTGAACCGGCATCCATCGGTGTTAATGTTTAACTTCGACCAATCCACGAAATTGAACGACACATTCACCATTGTCTTCAGTGAGTTACTATCTCACAATAGACCCGGTTGAAAAAACTTACAGAATCTTATCGATTAAGCTTTCCATGGGACTGATTAACTAAATGAGCTGATACGATAAAGAAGTATGGAGGAATGAACAGTTACCAGACTTAAGTATCATGCTTACAACCAATGTATCTCGAACAGAGTTAAGAAACAAACACTATTAAGGATAAAGTCAGTGTTTCTACCGCTAACAGCTCACCATAATTATCCTATGAATTAAAGACGAGTTATGTTATATAAACAAATAAAAATGAGGACTGACCGTTTGTTCAAAGGTATTATGATGACAATGACAATAAAATAGTTTGGTCATATACTCAAGAATACTGTTTCATCATCACTACATACATTCATATGTATCCATCTATTCACTTAAATACTCAGTTTACAATTGATCTATTAAGGGGTTAATAACGGAGATCCAATTTGCAAATTGTTACCCTGGATTTAAGCAATATATATATATATATATATATATATATATATATATATATATATATATATATATATATATATATATATATATATATATATATATATCAGCCAGTTACAACGTAGGACCAGGCAAACATATACATCGGTCCAAGTTGCCATACCTCACTCATTAGCACAACAACATAAACACTGAATCCATAGAAGTAGTTAATTCAATGGTGGTAATATGTAAAAGAAAGATAGCATATAAGGATATAGTACAGGAAGAAAGAATTAGTTCATAGAAATTAAAATATGAAGCGATTTTAATCTCATAGTTTAGAGGAAGACAAAGAAGGTATACACCGACGCCATTGTGATCGATTCTGAGCCATGTCAACCAGAGTCTCCAACCATTGGTTACGATAGTCATGCAGACCCGAACCATATAGTCTGTATCTACCAACATAACTGAGACTAGAAGTTTGTGACTTCAAGCACTGATGCCACGTTTTGGTTTGGACGCCCCTATATATACATATAAAGGACTAGAAAAGTTTACTAAATACTGGTTATCTTCCAGAAACGGATAGATACAAATAAAGTACATTGTTGTTTTTCTTCTTTCTTTCCACATTACATGATCACATGAAAGATGATATGCAATTTTACAGTAAATGAGTACAATATAATCAATAAATATTCATTCATTTAACACCGATTTATACCTACAATAGATTGTCATGGTCACTTGTTATAATCTAATTAGAATCAACCTTTATTATTTTAATTAATAAAAATTAAATAGATATGTACTTGATGGAAATATTCAAAATATAAACACTAGTTAGTTCACTTTTAGATGTAAATCATAATGTTATGGTGATCAAGGTCATTCTTAAATGTTAACCAATTAGGAGTATAACTTTAAGGTTATAAAGAAAGTAGTTCATTATTGAAAGTATCACAATCGATCAATCATTCAATTAGATAAAACTTTAAATAAAAGAAATATCATCCTTGATGAATTCTATCACCTTGAATAACCAATGAAGTCTAAGTATTTGAGTGAACTATTATTTATATGAAAAGATGAAAATTTACACTTTATATAAGAACTTTAAATTGTGTAAAGATATTTATATAGATTATCCATGAATGCTTTCTGTTTTAAATAAAACTATCATCAATATCAGAGTGGGTTTTGTGGAGATTGTAGTAATTTCAATAGTTGAGATCATGAATCAATTGAAGCTAGACAACTATAAAAAACGTGGAAACACTAGATGGCTGTTTCGTCATATTGTGGGACTCCTCACGATCTCATCTCGCGAGATTCGAACCCAGGACCTACCCAATGCTTCTAGGTTTTTCAATCACCATCTTATATTACTATCAAAACTCGAATGCATATCAAATAATGGGTTAATTATCAAACACTCCGTCAACATTGATCACATATCCACATCAGGACTTTTCTGCAACTATATTAAAAAATTTAAATGAAGTGATTTACAGAGATTATGGATTAAAATCTTGGGTACATCAGAGGCCTCAGTAATTCCATTGGAATTAGAACTTTAGTTTAATTAAAGGTTTTCAATGGAAAAAATAGTTGTTTTAACCAGATTGTTCCGTCTCTAAATGTTGTTAATTTTAGATTCATCCAGATGTATTGCAGATAAGGTTTTAATATTAGTTAAAATGCCATAATTATATAATATATATGACACATAAAAAAACCCAGATATTGCATCATAATTATATTCTTACTAAAATGAAAACTTGTTAAACATTATTAAATACTTTCTAACCAAAGACGAATAGTGGCTAGCAGTGGAATCCAGTTTAACGCGTATTTCGTCCTATTTGGGACTCTTTAGCTGGATGTGTCTGCATCTCTGTGTTCATGTTCACTCTAGGACTCAAACCGAGCACCGTTCGCTTCTAAAGCCATCGTGCCCCGGAATGAACATCAACCTTGGAATGCTGGTACATCCGGCTGACGAGTCCCAAAAAAAACGAAACACGCGTCATGGATTCCACTGCTAACCACTATCAATATTTACTTATAAATCTTGTAATCCAAAGCTATATCGATGCAATCTACACAGGATGCACATACTGCCAACAAGACACTAATCAATTGCAATCCTAAATAACAATCGAAAGATACAAGTAAATAATACCAAATGAATTATTAAATACTTCTGAAAAAAATAAATTTCATCTTAAATAGACTCTTTCATTACAATCATTGTAACAAACTGTTGAAGTATTACACATAAGAAATATCTGATGCACAGATTTATTGTATGTTTGAAAGGAATGATGAAACTATTCATATTTCCAGTTAATAAACTACATATTTAGAATCTACTTTATCTAGTTCAATTTAGTTAGCTGAATCATAACACTTCCTTCATATGAATAATTTGATTTAAATTACATAATGATATCTTATCGCTTAAATGGTAATCTTCAATAATGCAAGCTATCAGTTTCTAAATATTTCTTGCTTTGCTTAAAGTTTATCCCATCAAACTTATTATACTTAACTGTTTTTTACGGTGTACAAATCTGCAACTGATTCTTAAGTTGTCGTTTTACACTCATTGAAACACTCATTTTATAGAGGAAAACAGGGAACAAACAATTCATCGGTCTAGTGATTAAGCGCTCGCGAGGCGGGATCATGGATGCGCACTGCTGACGAGTCCCATAATAGGACGAAACGCCGTCAGACAGTGCTCCCAGGTTTTCCATGGTTGTCTAGCTTCAATTGACTCATAATCTCAACTATTGAAATTACTACAATCTCCACCAAACCCCCTCTGATACTAATTCATCGATCATTGAACTTACTTATCGTTTCGATAGTAAGCTTTTTTAATTAAAAAATATATAATCAATAAATCAATCAGTACTTAAATGAACACTAATAACATGACATAATAAATAAAATAATTAGTTTACCTGATAATTTTCGTGGACTTAATCTGCCTATATTTTGTTGATTAACAAATAGTCTTGCTTGACTATAGATAAATTGTGCATCTTTTTCACAACGTTCCGTAACCGGATCCACTAGATCACCAGAACCCGGTGATGATGAATTGATATAATCAAAGCTGTGAAAAATAAAATTCTCTTTATTTGATCCATGATCCATTGAAGTTCTATCCGGAAGAGATTGATGATCATATGCTTGTTCAGGGGAGAGTCTTTGGTCAGTAGATGAAATTCGACTTTTTACATATGGATCAGAAGATCTTTTATCTACTGTGGGGAGAATTGATGTAACTGTAGAACCACGATGTCCTTCTGTATAAGTTTGTGGTAGCGATGTTGGTGTATCGCGATACTGATTATCTAAATGTTCTTGCATTTGAGCAATACGATTATTCCATTGACGTTTAAGTTTTTCAAAATTTTCTTTAGATTTCGGACTACTTACAATAGGTTTAGATTTTCCAGGTGGTTCAGCCCGTCCAATTATTGGGGCTTGTTCTTTTGGCTGACATGAATTTCTACTCGAAGTTAGTTGTGGTTTTGGTGAAGCATTTCTTTCAGATACTTTTAAAGTTTTCGGTGGTGAAGGCGGCGGTGATTCTGGCAGCTGTGGAGGTGGAAGGGGTGGTGGAGGATGCAAGATTAATCGACGTGTCTGGGGATCACATTCATCCTTTTCTTTAGGATATACTTTTTCGTACACTGTAACACTTTCAGGCAAAATATTGCTACCATCAAATTGCCCAACATTACCTTTCTCATCGCTATCTTCAATCTCTTCTTGAACAAGTACAATTTCTCGTTTACGTCGTCGGCTTTCAGAACGTTCAAAGTTAAAACGATTCGGTTTTCTTGAAGTATATTCAGGTCCCATATATCCTAATAGTTCAGCATCGTGAGATTCAGTGGAAGCTAATAAAATGGAAGCCCAATAGTCCGTATCAAGATAATCACATATTCTTTCACTTTTACTAACTTTTAAACCATCTAAATGAGTAGAAACGCATAAACTAAGCGTGACTTGAGCTAAACCTTCTTCAGTCATAAACGCTTCTTGACGAATAATACCAATTGTTTGTTTATCAGGCAATACAAACGCCGATTGATATTCACGTTTAATTTTTTTGCCAACAAATGCAATCGATGAAGAAGAGTCTGTTTGTAATGAACGAAAACTTAATCCATTTAACGGCAAAATATTCTCATCTCCGACTCGATCACCAACAGAGACACTTGTTTGTAAATTAGTCTCTCTTGGTGATTGATTAGAAAAAATCAACACGGATGGAGATTTATCCTCATCGAGTACAATCGACATTAAAGATCCTAAACTTCTGGATAGACTGTTATAACGTCCATCTTGTCGGCGTAGATTGCTTGCTGTCCAGACTGTGGTCATTTTGTTATTGCTTAACTGAGAAACACCCTTTCACAGGTCAACTGAAGACCACTTTAACTGTCTACCAATCCATCGGATTAGATTAGTTTAACTAAAATAAATGAAGTCGAAAAATATATAATTTTCTGTAAAAGAATTATTTATGTTTGACTTTAGTAGGAATTTCTAAATAGCTATCTAAATTTCTAGGTGATTGAAAGCTCAGTTCGTTTGTAATTGTAAATCAACTAGTCTTTCTTAGATATTGACAGTGTTCTAATAAACCATATTCTGAATTAAATTCTTAACAAGGGTTGAATAACAAAAGGGTGCACAAATTGAGAGGAAAGATATTCTTCAAGACCGAAGATCAAATATGGATAAAGACTCTGACATATATTCAGTAGCACAATTTTATACCGATCTTTCTATTCTTCTAATGTACTTACTTTTCCGCCCACATCTATGTTAGTAAAGCTAATGAGAAATGAATTGTGACAAGGGTTTGTCTACTACTGTTTGTCTTCCATTCAACAGTGTATCATGTAGAATGCGACTAGTTTCACTGTGAAAAATGTTCAACTCTATACTTCTTTCATTATTTGATGAATCTTCTTGCGTAACTCTAATAATAGTCATCTCTAATTATTACTACATAACCCAACTAATTATCACTCATTCTGTGATTTCAATTTAGGTGAGAAATGCTTCAAATATACCTGTAATCAAATATTAGCAAATTACTTATGTTTATTGTAATGAAATGTCATGTTTCATGGTTACAGAATAATGTACGGAGTAGACTTGTGCTCGACTAAAAGAAAAATCATTGAGAATAAATAATCTTTGTACTATTTAAACTTAGATTAATTTTGGGTTGTTTGTTTATTTACTCTAAAGAAGTGGTTAACACCGGGTCACGAAACTCATTGGATAATGACCACATTACGTCAGGAAATTGCTAGGGTTAAAGCTATCACGAGTTCACTTAATCTCCAAACGAAAAACAGGACTCAGTGACCAAAGACCAGTAAGCTAGCTATGGATGTGTCCCAATCTCTCTAACTAGAGGGAGAAGTTCAAGCTTGGAATGGGGAAGTATGTTCTGCAAACAGCCAGAAACGTGCGATAACAACAAACACAATTCAAAACGTATATATACAGTACAAAACCGTCCTTGAGGTGATTTACCAAATAGCATACCAAAAGACGCAACGGACCAATAGCATTTAAGATATTTCCCAGTGGGAAATACGACATGAAGGTGACAAGAGTGTTTTTGGCGCGAAAATAAGGAAATTCAAATTTTCTAAATAAAATTGCAAATTTAGGTCTTTTCCCAAGTGAGTTCTGGGGATCTAACGTCCCTAACAGAAATAGAATCAGATATGAAAAAGATGAATAACAACTGGAAAGAGCTGGAAAGGATTGCCCAGGACAGGGTTGGATGAGGAATACTGGTGAGCGGCCTATGCTCTTTCATGAGAAATAACAGGCGTAAGTAAGTAGGTAAGTAAATATTGATTTATTTACAACAATCTACTCAATATTTAATTTATTTGAGATGATCAAGTCAAACCATAGTAATGATACCTACAAATTTATTAACCATAGTTTATATACATTTGGTAGATAGAAAATTTACTAATATGAGAATAGAAAAGAAAAGAAGTTTTTTTATTTCTAAGTATAGTTTAAACATACCTTTACTTAGATGTACTTGAATGTAAAGTGTGTTCTTTTTTTTGTTTTTTTTCTTAAAAAGAAAAACATGATCCACTTAAATAGAATGTTACCATGGAAATTTAAGCAAAATATTATAAGAGAATATTATATCTGAGTTCAAGTGTTCGTTGGGAATAAATTATATTATTAATATTATTACTACTATTATAACTATTATCATTACTACCATTACTATTATTATTATTATTAAGTCCACAGTGTCTGTGCTAATGTGGTATGGCAACTCGGACTGATGTACGTACGTACGAAGTTCTTCATTGTTATTGAATGACTGACTGACTGGATAAACTTCATATTTATATTACTGATATTATAATATTCATTTCCAGTTATGTAAAATATTATGGGTATATTATTCATTGGATAAATAAATTCTTAAAAGAAAAAAAATGTATAAATTCAATTAGTGTTGTTTCACTCGTATTGTCTCATTGTTATTTAAGATTGTAATTGATTATTTTCTTGCCGGCATATGTACATCCTGTATGGATTACCTCGATATTGCCTTTGGTTACAAGATTTATTAGCAAAGATGGATAGTGGCTAGCAGTGGAATCCATGACGCGCGTTTCGTTCTGTTTGGGACTCGTCAGCTGGATGTACCTGCATCCCAGAGTTGGTGTTCACTCTGGGACTTGAACCCAGTACCGTTCGCTTCAAACGCCATCGCGTTACCCACTTAGTTACTGAGTCCTAATAACCACCTGCTTGTGTAATGGGGTGAAGTTTTAAATTCAACTGGTGTTGTTTTACTTATATCTTTTGATTGTTATTTAGGATTGTAGTTCATCAGTCTCTTGTTGGCATATGTGGATTGCCTTCATATTGCCTTAAGTCACAAGCTTTATAAACAAAGATGAATAGTGGCTTGTATGTTATATCTTCTTATATGAATGAAATAAATTGCTTCACAACAAGTTTTTTTACAATTTCATCTATTCGATTTTATAAAGTAGATGTTTTTTCAAAAGAAAACCCCCCGGAAACTCAAATATCATCTAAAAGACAGTTGAAAATCATAAAGTTTTAGATAGTAGGTGTTTTCGAAATTCTAATTACTGACTTTATTGAAATATGAACACAAAAATTCAACATTTACAGATCGATCAGTCAGCGACAACATAGGATCAGGCACATATATGCATCGGTCCAAGTTGCCATACCAGTCAGTCAGTCTCGTGTGCTGTTACGGGTATGAGGGCTGATGTCACCTCCCGGCTGCCCACACCGTGGAAGGGTATTTCTTGAGGAACCTAAAAAAGAAGTTGGATTAATGTTGGCCTTAACGAACTGGGAGCATGACCGCAGAGCCCAAGGAACAACTGCTTGAGGCCGGTCGCGCACGGACTTTTCGTGGGAGGTTGTTAATGTGTTAGCCTCGTTCTCCAAAGGGACTTACCGCCGGAAACGGAAATCCGTGAGGTAAGGTGAGGTGTGACATTTTTAGGGCCGACCTTTTCTAACCCCTTCCTTCCTTGTGAGGAGGCAGCATCGCTGCAGATGTTGGTTGTCCGAGGTAAACACCTTGCTGCTGTCACACCCCTCTACAGTCAGCAGTACGACTTCTCCCTCAGACCTTGAGTTGCTGATTTTAGTCTTACCGTTCTCCAATCGACCTGCCTAGCATGGTAGAACCTACAGGAACATATGTTCCAGCCAATATAGCTCGGTTGGGTCATCACGATAGGCAAGCCCAACCACCGCGTAAAGGTAGCAGCTACGATCGGGAGTTGCCATACCGCATTAGCACATCAAAATGAACACTAGATTCATAGACGTAGTTACTTCAATAGAGGTGATATATAGAAGAAAGATTGCATATAAAAATATAGTACAGGAAAAGAGAATTAGTTCGCAGAAAGAAAGATATGAAGTGATTTTAATCTCTTAGTTTAAGGGAAGTCAGAGGGTGTATACACCTCCATAATTTACAGATCATTCTCATAGTTACTATAATCAGATTAAATCATAATGTTTGAACATACAGATCAACATTTTCAGTTTTCATCTTGCGGTACTGTTCACATACGATTTACTTATTATTAGTGGCTTTATTCAATATTAGATTTCTGGTACAATATAGAATTCTCAACACAATGTATTTCAACAAGTTTCTGTTTCTTAATTGTTCATCGATCCTGACGATAAATATTGAGTGATCGTCAGTTAAGAGTTTGCAGTCCAGTCAATTGACATCTCAATAATGTACATTCTTTTCAATGCGTATTGCCAACAACTATGATATCTGTGATTGGGTCCTGTTGTAACTTGTACAACGAAAGGTTGTATACTTTTCACAAACTCACCTAAATAGGTTATGTGATTAATAGTCATCATGATGTATTAAAACGAACAACATTAGATAACTTGTTGAAATATCTAGATGACAAGAACAGGTAGCACACATGTTCAAAAAAGCACCTAACAATGAATAAATATCTCACTGCCAACTTAGATAAATTCATAAGTTGTGTATACGAACTATTGAAAAGTATTGAATTGTCAGTTGTTTTGAAAGAACATCATTTTGTAATAAACTTTACACTGATCTTCAGTAACGAGTTAGTGTTCTTTGTAGAAATGAGACATTCAATGTTATTAAGAGATTATATTATCATGTTATATTATATTTATATTAATATCATTATTGGCATATATAAAACTGACATTTGTGAACCAACGATTGGTTCATACGAAATTTGTTCTCTTAGGATTCTGGAGCGCATGTGCCCATATTTTACAACTCCCCTAAGTCGACCTTCTGTTTCCAACAACCCGGTTAAAGCTCCGAACATTGGCTTTTCTTCGTCTCCTTTTCGCAAACAACACCCCCTTCGCGAGAAGGCAGTGAGTAGGACTTCCCTGTCAGTGGTTGTATGCACGTGACCATTTGAGAGCATTTGGAAAGGGAGAGTTGACTCTATCTACTCTCGGCCGTACTAAGGCGTTTGCGGGAAGTATTATATAGTAAGTATTGTATAGCAAGTAAGTAAAACTGAATTTTTTAGCACTTTCGAATATCTTACTTCTTGTCTAAATACAGACATTTCTCTAAGGGTTTTTAAATAAGTCTGAATAGCGGATTTATGTATACCGGTTACAGTTAACTTGTCTACTCAAGATTGTTTCAAGTTTATGAAAGTTGGCCTGGATTTTGTATCATAAAGAAGATGAAAGTGGTGTACACCTTCAATTAGTCGAAATTGAAGTGAAGCCTGATACAAACATGATTCAGTCCAAATTACTAAACCATATCATCACGAAAAGATGAAATTAACAAGATGAATAGCAAAAATGTCAAGATAATTGTAGTATCAATGATAGTGAAAAAGAATGCATTTTGTTTAGTGTAAATTTTAGAAACAAAATGCATGAAATGATATCGAAGATCTAAACTGAAAGGAAGATAAAGATTGAAATTATCTGTACCTTTTAGACAAAATCTGATATATAAGACCTGATATCTCCGATCACTGATCCTAGTTCTAGCTTCAACCCTGATCTATTAGTTTACATTTATCAACCTTGTTCATTTCATCTCCTCCAGAAACCCATAACTTTACAACAAGATTGGTTCAACAGAATTCTGAATAAAGAAAACTACTTATCATTGATTCTTTATAGTATTACACAATCTGATTACCAGATTCAAGATTAAGTAATATAATATATTTTCATCTCTAATAATGCATTGAACTGATTGGTAAATGGGGATTCAATGAAACGGTAGAAAATAGTGCTGACAGCCAAAAGTTCATTATCGAAAGATAAGTTTAAGGGGTTTTATGTTTATCTATTGAAAATATAATCAGCTGTTTATTACTTGGATCGGTGATAGATAACTCAATTACTGGTACGGATATGCGTCTGTCCACGTTCATACACTTTATATCAGTAAATATCGAGTAAATGATAGAGGAAATAATATTAACTATGTTACAAACTTTAATATAAGGAACATAGAATGAGTTGGGACATACGTTAAGATTTGGGAAATGATAACTTCGAGTAACCGAACCAGACCTCTCTAAATATGAACTAGTGACTGTGCAGACTGATACTGTTTTCATTTAACCTTTAGTCTTATTATACGAACTTAATTCTGTCATAGAGTAGACAGCTACTATAACACATGTTTAATCCACGCATTTCTATGTTTTGATTGATCTAATAAGGACGTTGTCCAACGTAGCAACAAAAACTCTGTCACCAGAAAAAAGGTATCAGACTTTCGAAGTCAGTCCTCAAAGATAGGGAACTTTCCTTTCTTTTTTCAAGGAAAATGTATCATTTCAAGTATTTACAATGAAGCGGTTGACTAACTGAAATTAGTTATTACTCACCAATTCTATTTAACTAATGACTATATTTATGTTAACGACAATAGTAACTAACTTATTACTAAGGCGTTTATTACAAGAACTACTCAAATAAGAAGATGAATATCTCTGATAATGAACTGCATGGTGAATCAATCATTTTACTATACTAACTACTACTGTGCATTTTGCTTTCTTCAAAATGATCATGAACGTCAGTAAATAAACATGGAAAACGCTTTCAGATAAAACTAGCGTTGAAATAATTATTCTTACAATCATAGGACATATAGTCCACAACCTCACATCACTTAGATTATCATTACAAATCACAGATCAAAAGGAAGTTATTATGGTTTATTTTTGAATGCCTGCGCAGTATGCACTCAGAATCTCATGATCTGTTTATAAGCATATTAATTATTACGATCACCAAGTTGGAATGCGAAAGTTCAACTTCAATTTATCCGCGAAATAGCATGATAATCATTACTTACTTACGCCTGTTACTCCTAATGGAGCATAGGCCACCGAACAGCACTCTCCAACCCACTCTGTCCTGGGCCTTCCTTTCTAATTCTATCCAATTCTTGTTCATTTTTCTCATGTCTATCTCCATTTCCCACCGTAATGTGTTCTTTGGTCTTCCTCTTCTACTTTGGCCTTGAGGATTCCATGTGAGGGCTTGTCTTGTGACGCAGTTGGGTGCTTTCTTCAATGTGTGTCCTATCCACTTCTAGCGCTTCTTCCTAATTTCTTCCTCCGCTGGGATCTGGTTTCTTCTCTCCCACAGTACGTTGTTGCTAATAGTGTCCGGCCAACAGATCCGAAGTATTTTGGGTAGACAACTGTTAATAAACACTTGTATCTTCTGGATGATTGATTTCGTAGTTCTCCAGGTTTCTGCCTCATACAGTAGAACTGTCTTGACATTTGTATTGAAAGTCCTGACCTTGGTGTTGGTTAACAGTTGCTTTGAGTTCTAGATGTTCTTCAGTTGTAAATATGCTGCTCTTGCTTTACCGATCCGCACTTTCACATCTGCATCAGATCCACCGTGTTCATCAATGATGCTGCCCAAATATGTAAAGGTTTTTACATCTTCCAAATTTTCTCCGTCAATTGTGACTGGATTGGTGCATGCTGTGTTGTACCGAGAATATTGCTTTCCATTTGTGTATATTGAGACCTACTGATGCTGATGCTGCTGCTACACTGGTCGTTTTCTCCTGCATTTGTTGTTGCGATTGCGATAGGAGGGTCAGATCGTCTGCGAAGTCTAGATCATCCAACTGCATCTTAGATGTCCATTGTATCCCGCGCTTCCCTTCAGACGTTGACGTCTTCATGATCCAGTCGATCACCAGGAAAAAGAGAAAGAGTGAGAGTAAGCAACCTTGCCTGACACCGATCTTTACCTCGAACGAGTCTGTCAATTGTCCTCCATGTACAATTTTGCAGTTTAATCCATCATAGGATTTTGGTATGATATTGACTATCTTCTGAGGCACGCCGTAATATCGAAGAAGCTTCCATAGTGTTGTTCTGTCCATGCTATCAAATGCTTTTTCGTAGTCAATGAAGTTTATGTAGAGTGATGAATTCATAAATGATAACTAGTATTAATTGTTGAACAGCTGAATCCCATCAATTAAAAATTAAACTAATCCGTACAGAACTTTAAAAAAAAACTATTCTTGAATGTTTGAGTGGTAACTACAGTAAAATAGATTAAGTTTGTTTGTATTTGTCATATGATTTGAAAATATCTAAGTTATTTGTTTTTTTTATTATGAATAAACCGTTGTGTGTATGCCAACATATATATACTCATATGTGGTTTAATCGCTGAGTGACAGTAGAAATACTCATTAGGAAAAATGTATACACATCAGTAACATATATGTATAATCCAGACAGCTCTATATTCCTTATCGTTAATATATATATATTCAATGAATGTGTAACTGTTGGACGATAGAATCAATATTGAATCAGTAGTCTATGGAGTTGATATGAGCTTCAAAAGTTTTTATAATAAAATGCAAGCTTTAAAATACCTACATATGTTACATAATAGATCTAAGTATAGAATATAGGGATCATGAGTATCATACACAGAAAATATCCTCCAAAATAGAACGGATTCATTCAACAATTAATGAATTCATAAACTGATGGAATGTTTTGATCTAGATTCACTTAGACTACAAACTACGTTTATTCAGGTGTTCAGATTACATAACAAGTATTTCAATCATATCAGTAACCAAGCTTTGTGAAGTTATTTTCACATAGCTCAGAAGAGCGAAAAGGAAACAGGCCTTGGACATCTAACTTTCATCCACCTGGTTTTACTTATTCTCCTAAAGAGAGTAAAAACAAAACATTGGGCATAATAATATGAATTCATATCACTTAGTTAGATTCTCATTAGGTGCTTACAACTTATAATACTTTAAAATCAAGATTATCATAAATTCCACAAACTTATAACAGTAAATTTATATATGTGGCGTCATGGTAGAGTAGTGATTCGAATGTGATGAAACTAAAAACATATAAAGAGAGCTGTTAACATAGATGACGAGTAAGAGAACATTCTAGATCACCAGAAATAATAACAAGAGACCATAAAGCTAAAAAATAACGTTGTTGTGTAATGAAGTAGCTGGACACAAATTAATAGCAATTAAGAACAACAAGAGTTAACATCAGTCAGTTAAAAACAAATTATGGATTTGAGAAAAGTGATGTGATCAAAATAAAAGTGAAAATTGCATGATTGATTTAACTTGGTAGCCTGCTTGAATATGTGAACTACTTGATCCTATCATCTAGATATTTCAACAAGTTATCTAATGTTGTTCGTTTTAATACATCATGATGACTATTAATCACATAACCTATTTAGGTGAGTTTGTGAAAAGTATACAACCTTTCGTTGTACAAGTTACAACAGGACCCAATCACAGATATCATAGTTGTTGGCAATACGCATTGAAAAGAATGTACATTATTGAGATGTCAATTGACTGGACTGCAAACTCTTAACTGACGATCACTCAATATTTATCGTCAGGATCGATGAACAATTAAGAAACAGAAACTTGTTGAAATACATTGTGTTGAGAATTCTATATTGTACCAGAAATCTAATATTGAATAAAGCCACTAATAATAATAATGATCAATAATTAATTAATTAACATTAACTAATAAATAATTAACTCAAACTATTTTGGTTTGTTTATTATTTTTTATACATTCATACAAACAATGCTGTACATTGGAATAAGGCCTGATGAAGATCCAAATACAAAAACCACTGTTCGATAGTATGTATTGTTCTGATTTATGCAGTAGGTATTTTCAATATTTTAAGATCACATGAAGATGCCAATAGCTGTCAAGTTATTTAAATAATGCAACAAAAAAACATAAAACGTCTTCAAAGCTTCAACCTTCTGAGTCTAGAGCTTTTATTATTCCCTAATTTTGACTCAGCCAATATAACTAGCATAAATTTCGTACAAATCGAAAAAGATAAATCTGTTATCACTTCATGATATCATATGTTCAACATAATCTCTTATTTCTAACTAATTTCCAAGAAAGACATATTGTTAGAACTATTTCGCATTCAGATCTACCTGATTGTGGACATATCAACAGAATACTTGATTACTTATTTGTCAGCTATTGGAACATAAGCATACATACTGATGATCAAACGAAATCGTGATTTCTACCAGAATGTAACGTTGAATCACCTGGATTAGAAGTCTTCTGTCATTATCTTATATTTATGCACGAAGCTATCGATCATAACGTACAAGAATACTAATGTTGTTTGAAGAGGATATATCAGGTTGTTATGTCAATTATAATAAATAAAAACATTTCATTGTTATGGTACAAAACATTATGACTATAGGGTATCAAATAGCTCAGAAGACTCAATATCACTGACGAATCCTCCTTGCTTTACTCACAACTATAAGCTAAAAATACAGGGATGTTTTCTTCTTTTTACTGTCTAAAAAGTCCTGATCGAACTGAATGAGGGCATATTATTTGTAGTGAATCTTTTCGCTTCATCATTTAATACCATCACATGGAGTAGTAGTTAGTATATATCACCAACAATGACACTGCAACCTTTGATATAGCTGTCACAGTAATCCTAAAGATAAAACAACAATACGTTGTCTTAAAGATTTCCGATACGTCTGATAAGTCCTTCCTGTGGGACATCACTGTAGCTTGGAAATACATTTTTGAAGACTCTGTTTAACAGGACCGTGGTCGCTGTTGAGACATTCGATTTTAATCGAACTTACAAACCCAGTAGTTTTATTCCAATAGTGTTCGAAATGAAAGCAAACGTGATTAACTTTTACTTATTAAATGTCAATATGTGTATATATTATATTAAAGCTGTACAACTATTCACTTATATCGTTAGAAGTAATTTCAATAAATATATTTTTACTTTGACAGAAAACTCAGACCTTGAACCTCCTCGTGGCGCTGCTGAATAGTCGAAGCAACCTTGACAACTAACTGAGGCGGTCAATGGAGATCGGACTAGTCACACATAACGTTGTATCTTCGATTATCCTGGGTTCCGAATCCGAGGTTCACTTAACCGTACCGGGATACTCGATGTGCATGCTTATATGCAAGAACTCCAGAAGTCCTCTGACCTATGCAGTTCAAGTACGTAGGTGTAAGCAAAAGGTATGAGTACGATATCTTACAAAGGAGATGTTTAGCTGAAAAACTGTCTGCACTGTGTATAATAAAATCGGCGGCCTATCTATTAGGTCGAAGACAAATGATTCAGCAGGAAATACTAGGGAGAAACAATCAACCTCCCTTGAAATAATGCCTATGCTTATGTATGTTTCAGTTTAACTACTGCCAAGATAAGTTATATAGTAAGTAAAGGAGCAGTGATGGTAAATATTCTCTTTGAATAAGACAGTCATTGTGCTTTTTCATATAGCTAGCCTAAAAGTTTACGTAAAATTCCTTTCATTAGAGCCCAATGATTGTGAACCTATTACATTTCAAGGGTTTATGACAGTTCAATGAACTGGTTCGGTGAATATATAAATAAATCCGTAAACTTGTCGCGTAGGTAAAGATAATCATAAAAATCAGTTTCTTATTGAAGTTTTTCCCTCCAATGAAGGGTGAGAAAATGTTTCACGAGCAGCCTTAAAAAAGTCGGCAAAATAACATCCCGAAACAAAAATTATATATCACATTATATTAAAAACTAACGAACAAAACGTCACTTGACGCTATATATATAAACGTATGACATAAATTTGCTAATTTTAGATGCTAGAATAAAACCTGCTGCGCGCGTGATCCTACATGTTCGTACCAATAAGCAAGTAAATGTAAAACTGCAGCAGAATACTAAATAAAAGACTAACAAATTGGTTTGAAAAACAGAGAACTTTTTACAGAACAAATATGAAACGTCCAGAAAATTACTTGCTAATTTAGTGAAGACATTGCGTCAAAGCAATGAATCGCTATTACGCTTATAGATAGACCATACAAAAGCTCATTCGAATCAAGAAACATGTACTTATTAATTTAGTAACATACCAGTTTCCGGATCAACGAACTTTGAAGTGTAGCATAATAGAGGACGCCCAAAATGGCACACTAAAACAAACACATGCTAACGTAACATCATTTATACCTTTCAAATAGGTAAAAGGTTAACTTTGATAAAAATTGTCTAGCATCTTGCCTTTTTATTCAAATCGTAACTAAATGAAACGTTTACTGAATGAAATTCTGTTTATAACTTAGTGTGAACAAGGAAACGGCATTACCTGGCAACTATGATGGGTAAATCCAGGCCCTGTAATCAGCGTGTTGTGCCATTTAGTGTCAGCGAATCCTTATTTAGTTGTGATGCACTCGACAATCACTAAGTTGCATAATCGAACGATTATTTCAGGTCAATTTATCAGTGTTATGAAGCAGTTAGAAAAAACTTATAATATGTAGCGAAAAAAACAGGGTCAGGGCGACAAGTTATATTCGAGAACTCAGTACACTGAACCATTTCACAGGCATTTTTGTAATTTCACATAGGATATTCATATTATTGACAAATTTAATTTACACTTAATGGAGCACCTGTGCAAGAACGAGTGGAAAGTTTCTGCTCAACATGCACGAAGGGTTGAAGCGAATGGTATTTATGAATAGTAGAATGAATGTAAATAGGCTCTCAATGTTCGTGAATATAAGTTTCTCATTTGCAAAGTCAGCTTGTTTCAGAAATAACAGAACAGAACGTTAGCTGATACAGTAATTGTGGAAAGGGCTGAGCGTTCAGAGGGTCGATTCAGAAAATCATGGCGTTTTTCACTTGGTAACTATTATATCTTGAAACGGACAGAGATTTCTCTGAAAATGCTCAAAATAATTACACCACCGGGCTTTGATAAACTGCCTGCAACCCTCTAAAATTACTGGAATTCCCGCGCAAGTATTAAAAAGTAGGTTTTGTTTTATTGTCGGTAATCCCATGTTTTTAAAAGAAGCAATGCTACACAAACCAAACTCTTACTTAGAATTCGGAAAGTTAAAAAGGAAACGAACACACCAAAAAGCACTTGGTGTGGCGATTGGAGTCAAACATTAACACTCCGAAAAACAACTGCCAACAACTGGAAAGGTTAGTGAGAACTATCAAGCTTCCGCTAACACGTAAGAGTCATAGATTGTAGGAATACCAACCCTGAACAACAGAGATGTCTAACGGGGAGGGTTAATCGAACGTAAGTTGCGAAGCAATATCTCATTACGACAGGCAGTTTGACATCATATTTTGATCAGACAAATTATCTTTCAACTTAAAGTATTCAAATTGAGTGCTGTTATATAATTTACACTTGTTATTGCTATGCCTTTTCAGGAAGGATGATGAGACTTACATTTGTCCATTTCCAAGTCAGTGGAGGACGAACTTAAAGTTACTAGAAGCATGCGGATAAGAACTCAATCCGGAACCATGGATGACAAACAAAATTCTGTAAGTGATAGCCCCGATGACAATTCGATTGCAAATTCAGGTTATTGGGTTCAAGGATGCCAGGAAAAATTTTAAAGCATTGTATTTGTTGAGAAAAGCGACATGAATACCCTTAAAAATACCATCAGTTTTGCAGCCCTATAACTTCAAAAATTCAAGGACATGTTTGAAACGACCGAACAACCAGGATTCGCTTGAAACGTCGGACTGACGAACTAGAATTTATTTGATTACACCAGATCACGTTCCCCTGTATAGCGTACAACGCGTTTTTGAGATAATCGCATTGTATTATATCAAAACACAAACTCTGTGCTCAATATAAACTGTTCTAATTTAGAAAACAGAACAAACTATATCAAAAGTACAAAATATCTCAAACGGTACATCCTGCGCTATACAGTCAGAAGTTTCTCTAACGCAAAGTAGCGCACCAAACAATTAAGAAAACAGTTAATACTAAAGTATTTGCTACCAGGAAATCAATAAAAATATTCTCAACAATTGTGATCAAATGTCTATCCGCAGGGATTCCAGCCTTCCTCCTAAGCAGACTGTCAAAAGGTTCACAGTCACACATTGAACCACGCCGTGACCTTGAGCCTAGTCAAACACGACCTTACTGTCAATAGTCCGGAAACATGCAATGGAAACTTAGGTAACAAAGTATAGGTCTTTAATCAAAATCACATAATAAAGGCTCAGACGAGTAAGACTGAAGAACAAAAGATGTGGTTAAACGAAATCTGAACAAAGGTTAAAATACACGACAGGGAGAAGGAACAAATAAATGACAGTACTGTTCAACAATTAGCTGCGGAGGGATTTTTATCGTTCTCTTTCCGTTACAGTGTTCGTTTACTCGGTGATCATTTATTTTGCAATAGTTTCTGAGCCAGTCGTATGGTTGTATATGAGTCAATATAAAGTCCCATTCATTAAAAAGGTTAAATGTCTGAACAACGTCCCGTAGCTCTCATGAGTTCTGAATCTGAAATAGCGGATGGATAACGTTGCTTATAAACGTCAAATGTTATTGGTCCGATTATTAAGATTGTATGTATTTTGAATCCTTTTCGGACAAAGTATATCAATTTCGGAATAATAAAGATCAGTTTGCTAAATTACCGGAATCGGATTTACACGGGAGGTTAGTTAATCTGTCAGAAAGATGAGTGTTCGAATTTTTTGTCTCGTAATCCACAATTATTAGTATCTTGCGATTCGAAATATGATTGGTACAATCCAAGATGTGCATCCAAAATATTCATCCAATGAGGATATCAATGTGATCTTTAAATGAAGACAGCAAAATATTTCTAGTAATTTGCATAGTCGTGGTAATGAACTTAGCACTCAGGGTCACTCAAGCTTGCGTTAATTTAATAATGGCTTTTATTCTCGTGGAAATATGAAGAAGCAACTCATCAAGAAACTGAAAAACATGTCGCAAAATCGAACACAATTTTTACAAATTTTTGTTATGTAGCGGATTTCGCCCACGTAATTCATGTGTATTTCGCAATGCTAAATGCTTCAAATGTGGAGAAATTGCCGGCGAAACTATATATTGTGGACGTTCTTTGAAGGAATTTAAAGAGACCTTGAGAAAAATTAACCAATCAGAAGACAGTTAGTATAAAGTGAGAATATATTGTAAGTAAGTAATGAATTACAGTGGATATTCTTCTTTTACATGATTTAAAAACTTGTTAAGGTTTGATAAATGTTCAGAGGCTCTGAATTCATAATGCATATTATATAGAAACTCGTCCATAGGGTTAGTGGTTAGGGTAGTAGCCTAGGGTTAGGGTGCTAACATGCGATCAGTTAACAACGGATTTTAGAGCTTAGGGTTAGAGTTATGATCAGGGTCAGTGTGAAATTGTAGCCTGTCAAAAGACACCTCTTCTCTAAAATCCGATGTAAACCGATCGCATGTTAGCACCCTAAACCTAACCTAACCTTAACCCTAACCTCAACCTAACCCGAAACCCTAACCTTAACCTAGCCCTAAACCCTAATCTAACCCTAAACCCTAACCTTAACCTAACCTTAAACCCTAATCTAACCTTAACCTTAACCTAACCCTTAACCCTGCCCCTAACCTAACCCTTAACCCCAAACCCTAACCCTATGGACGAGTTTCTATACAATATGCATTGTGAATTCAGAACTTCTGAGCCTTTATCAAACCTCAACAAGCTTTTAAATCATGTAAAAGAAGAATATCCACTGTAATTCATTACTTTCTTGTAATATATTTTTACTTTATACTGCCTTCTGATTGGCTAATAATTGAAATTGCTCAAACGCCTGTCATTGGCTCGTCCCTAAATTAGAGTTTCGCCGTCCCATCTGTTTTAACCTCTCATTATTCACCTCCTCTCTAAAATCCGCTGTGAACCAACTGTATGTTAGCATCGCGTGTTGAACTTGGCTCCGTGACCTTGAAATTGCTCAAACGCTTCTGATTGGCTCGTCGCTAAATTAGAGTCTCGCCGAGAGCTAGTAAAAAGTAAAAATATATTATAAAAAACCATGAATTACTGTGGATTTTTTTTCACATGATTTAAAAACTTGTTAAGGTTAGATAATGGTTCAGATGTCCTGAAATTATAGTGCACAGGGTTAGGGTGCACAAACCAAATTCCATGGAGGCATCTATACGCTTTCCAATCATCGGTATAGATCGTGGTGCCAGGCTGGACGTACTCTTTTATGATTGGTATTATTGTCGTTGCCTGACGGTTTCTCACTCTTTGAAAATGTCCCTTTTGGTTTGAACGACCATAAAATCCAAGTACCTGTCAAGCATATTTACGGGAGTGCTACTTACCCAATCTTTGTTGATAAAACGTCCTTTGTTGTATTTTCGCTTTCTCATTAGTGTCTCATCTATTTCCACTATTCTTCGACTCCTCCAAATGATTCATGTAGTCGTGTCATTTTGATTGCACATATATCACGGCAATATTCGTACCACTGCACGGCTGAAATTTCCGTAACATCTTCAAAAGCCGCAGCTAATGTTACTGGAGACTTTATGATCTAATTTCCAACAATTATCATGATTTGTCTTAGTCTGAGTCGTGATCGAGCATAGAAGGTGCCAGTTCAAGCAGATTTTTTCCTCCAACATATAGGACAACGAAATACAATGTCATCACGGTAGTCTGCACATAGTGCTGCAGTCATTTGATTTCCGCAGTCACAGATACAGGAACTTCTTAATAGTCCCATCTGTTGTAGTCGCTCAACAATCACCTCTTCTCTAAAATCTGCTGTAAAACGATCGTATGTGAGCATCACGTGTTGAGCTTAGCGCCGTGACCTTGAAATTCTGATTGGCTCGTCCATAAATTATAGTCTCGCCAAATTGCTCGGTTCTCCTACTTTGGCGAAAATTCGGGAAAATCTCTCAAGACCAAAAGCCACAAAAAGGCTCTGACTTTCTGTACATAAACGAACCTTGAGGAAAAGCGTTTCTCCAATATTTTGCGTCTTTTTTCTCGTGTTCAATTCGCTGTGTAGATTTAGCATAGAGACTTCTAGAAGAGCTTTGGAACAGAATCTAACGTTCAATTAGAAGACCTATCAATTGAGTAGATCTTTACTTCGAAAATAACCCAATATGAAAATTTAAAAAATAAATAAACTCATCCAAAATATCTCACATAAAGACATGGTAGTATTTGTATGAAATATTGTTTTGCATATATGTTATAACTTGTGGCCTGTGTCCTGTTAATGTATAACGTAATGATACTGCCAATTAGAAAGTAGTGAATTATCGACCGGACCAATGACTTGTAAACCCCGTAAGAGCAGTCTAGATTACTTATCGGTCCTGCTTCCTGCCTAGTCCAGTCAGTTAAGTCCAGAACCCAAATCTCAGCCTCTGCGATATGAATCATACGGGGTTTATATACGAATCAATCAGACCACATCGAACCATAAAATAGAAAACAATAAGATTTAGCCAAATGTGGCTGTGCATGTAGGAGGTAGTAATTAATAGACAGGGCATAATTCAAGAATGATAAGTCGTATAATAATAGTTCGTAAGTCAAAATAAAGCTCGTAATTAGAGGAACATGAATGTGAGTAGTTTAGTTGTTTAACAATTATACGATAAAAATATCCCCATGGTATCGATCCATAAATGGATCCCAAAGTCACCATTCATTATGCTTATCGGACATAACAATATACCTGACTGGGGAATTCTAAATTCAGTACAATACATCCAACTGTGTGCACTGTTCTCTGTCTTTAGTTGTCACTACTAAAGTACATACTATTTAGGTTTGGAAACTTACTATTTCGCAGATTAAATTCGATAATTTTACTACTCAGAAAGATCCTGCACATATCTACTGGACTATCCTTGTAATAGTCCATATTTTAGATAGGATATTGTAAAGTTTGTGACATATTACTGTCGTGTTTGTACTAATTGATAAATTCTTTTGTACATGATCCAGTGGCTGATATGAATTTCAAATGCATTACCTTCGACTGTGCTCACATATTTCTCTCTGATTTGAGTACTGATCCTTACATGGCCACTAGAGTATGAATTAAACAATTCTGTGTAATACAAGTCAGCATACATAAGTTGATCACTTCTGATTATCACAGTTATTTTATTTGAATATTAAATAGCTGCATTTCTCGCTGGGGTGGGGCGGGATCGTGGATGCACACCGCCGTCTAGCGCTTCCAGGTTTTCCATGGTGATCTAGCTTCAAGCGACTCATGATCTCAACATTTTTCATAACACACATTTATTTCTAATAAGTGACTACTTAAGAAAAACTCTCCATAAAATTCGACCGATTTATTAAACATATTTCCGATTACAGTAAGTCAGTCAGTCAGTCAGTAACAACGTAGAACTTCGTACGTACGTACATCAGTTCGAGTTGCCATATCACCTTAGCACAGAAATGCAGTACAGTAAATACTCCCAGCAATTATTATTTCAATACTTCGCACATTTTTAAATATCACTAAACTAGGAAAGAGATTTTAGCAATGTGATGGACTTAATTTATTCAAGTGTTTTTTTCATCAGAATATATGATTTCAAAATAACCAAGTTGTTCAGCCCCCCAAATGCCCTGGTACGATCGAGGGTCGGGAGAGTCCACACTCCTTCTCGAAATGCTCTCACGTGGCCACATGCATACAGCGACTGCCAGGGAAGTTCTGCTCACTGCCTTCTCGCGAAGAGGTGTTTTTCACGAGACTGAAGGGACGAAAATTGAATATCCAGCTCATATCAGCACATAGGGTTAACCTAGGGGAGTTGAAAATCTCTGACTCCAAAACAATGGTGAACGCGGGCTCCAGGATCCTGAAGTAACAAGTGACGTATGAACTAATTATTTGTCAAAGACTACCATGGGACTGCATTTCCCAAAACTGCTCCATTGCCTTGCGGATCAGACCTTTAGGTCGAAGGCTTCGGGTGTGGCCGCCTAAGAAAACCAACTGCTCCGGTTTGGGCACTCGGGCAGTATAGCAGCCCACACACATATCAAGTGACTTGTGTGGCGCATCTGTATCGAATGCATCTTTGTACCAATATTTATGAACCCAAATAAATAAATAAAACCAAACTGTTTGACTAGACTCCCCTATGAGGTAGAGGATTAATACCCCATATATAACCTGGGCTATTTCACCCTCTAATTTGTAAAACCATCGAAAAAAGCCGTTTAGAAAGCCTGTGATCAACTATCAATGACCTTTTATAGATTGCGGAAATCTTAGTTTGACTGGGTAGGTACCTTTTAAACCTTCTACAACTGCAGTCACTATTCAATAAATGATGTAGCTTGACAAAAGTCAACAAATCTTCGGGAATTTATTCCTCAACTGGCTTCCTATGATGCTCCTGCTTATTAATTTATACGAATGTATAAATTGCCTTAGACTACTACCTGTCGTTTGACAGGTTAAAGACAATCAATCAACACCCTACAAATTTCGGCGAGACTATAATTTATGGACGACAAGTCACGAATTTTGGCGCGAAATTGATCCATACATCTGACTAAATAGAATTTTGGCATTAAATCTTACGTCAGTTCGTGATGAAAACCCTAAATCTAATTTCGAACCCTAACCATCAACTGCAAATGAGAATTGTAACTGCTTTCCAACCCTCATTTAGTCTTAATCAATAGGTGTCCACTCTCAATGCCACTTCAGTGTCGATCAATGGTCGTCCATATATTATAGTTCCACCCAAATTTCCTCTCAATTTCTTTAGATCTTAATTAAACTGTAAAATCAAATAATCAAAAACTGAAAGTCGGTCAACAAAAACGAAAAATCAAAGAAGGTTGGTATGATGGGGATAAAATATGAAAAGTATTGATTAACTTGTAACGTCTATTTTTTATCTTACCTTAGTCATTTAGCTGATAGATTATGCTACTTTAGTTGGATAAATTATACACAAATGAGTTTTAATTCACTAATACAATAATGATCGATTCTATGGGGAAAACAACACTTCAATCACAATACCGTTAAATCAGTCATAACTGAAATCACGTAAATTTTTATAACATGAATGTATAAGACAATACCATGACACAAGAGAGTATCCAATTTGTATTTTACATTATGGACTGATTTTAAAACACAAGGAACAGACTGATAATCCCTAGTTGAATCGCTGGATAAGGGGGTCTATGGATACTCATGGCTATAGATTTCCACTACAGGATGAAATGGCTATTCAATGTTTTTTTGATTTTCAAAGGTTGTCTAGCAAAACTGTTTGTGATATAATCAAATAATTCATGCCAGAGTTCACTTCATTCCTGACACAATTAAACAGAATCGTATTTTATAACTGTAAGTTGACAGTGATATTGTAACAGAATAACATAGAGAAAACACAAACAAATTGATTTGAAGGAAAAAAAGATATTTACATTTTTAGGAAATTCCTGCTCTCAAAAGAGAACATCTAATTCACAGGTTCAGAATTTATGAGTACCAATTGTTTTTTTTAGCGTAAACCATAATACCACCAGTGTGGTGGTTCATTTCCTCTACGCCATATTGAATCAACACGTAAACCGACATCCACTTCTTTAGTGTCATCTTTTTGATTATCCACTATTCTTTCACCTTCGTTTATTTCGGCACTTTTCAATGTGATTTCATCAGTAACCTGTTCATTCTGTTTTTGTTTTTGTCTCTCTAAATATTTCATCATTGCAATACGAGCTCTATGTGCCATTAAATAAGATCTTGGATGTATTGGTAAAAATCCACATAATCCTAATAATTCAGCTACACGAACAGTTGGTTCAGCTCCCATACCAATCCAGTAGGAGATACGTTCAAAATTTAATGCAATCAACTGTTCTCCATGAATATTAGGTAATGGATCCCATGAACCGACTTGTTCAATACCATTCTTTTTCGATTCAGCTAAGTTAGATTTAATCTGTAATATGGACAAAATGAATAATAAAATGAAGAAATAGCAAAGAAATTAGTGTCAGTCGTAAAATAAACATAATTCCTGGTTTAAATATACACTGGTCTAGATTTTTATATCGTTTCAAAGCAGTGTAAGAAAATTATTAACAAGGCACATGTTAATACAGTCAAAATCGTAGTATTGTTCACGTTGGTTTAAAGAAAAACTCGATGTGAAGATTATTGCTTGGAAAGAAGGGAATAGTTCGTAGAACAAAAGATGTGAATATTGAGGAGATAATTCGAACGAATTCTCTCTCTAGTTAGCGGGGCTGGGACGCATCAAAATAGCTAGCTTATTGGTCTTTGGTCACAGAGTCTTTGTTCCGTTCGCAGACTAGGTGAATACTCAATTGCTTTAAACACAACAAAATAAACAGGTAAGCTGTTACATTGCAATGTTAAACAATGTCTCTAACCACTGACTACATGTGAATGTGAGGAGTCTAATCAAGTAGTTTGCGTCCATTAACAAACTAATAGTCAATATCTTTATGAACTGATGCTATTTTTTAAGTTTGACTCCTTCAATTTCTTAAACCTACTCCTACCCCAGGCTAGCATTGCGCCTCAAGATAGGTGGTAGTTAGGTATGCGTAACACACATCTTAATCACCACATTAGAAGAATGTTCTTTCATACCTAGACTGATTATATTTGAGGATTTGGGATTTTCAATACTATTCCTATGCGTTCATTTTACACTGATGACATTGTGGACTAGTATTATGATCTGATTTAGACAAACAAAACTATTTACTGACATTCATATGTTTTAATCAACAAAAATTATGATGAAGACATTTTGACCAAATAAAATGCACAATCGTTTATACGAATAGTGTTCATCCTGTTGTGTTAATGAGGTATGGCAACTTGGACCGATTCGTATATGTGCCTGGTCCTACGTTGTAGCTGAGTGACTGACTGAATAGTGAACTTTTAAACTAGGCAATTGATTTTCGACGTGAATATTGATAGGTATATAGTTCTAAGCAATTGTTTAAAGGAAACTACTCGGTAATTCTTAGCGGAACTAATAAATTCTAAATTGCTATGGCAGAGATATATCTGTTGATATGATAATGATGTTTCATTGGGTTAGATAGTTAAAATAGGTTACATATATCTTCAAACCCTAATGTTTTTGATTACTGCTTATACTCTTACTACCTCTACCACTATGGGATTTGAATCGACAACTGCATCTCTGTGCTAATGTGGTATGGCAACTCGAAATGATCTACGTACGTACGAAGTCCTACGTTGCTACTGACTGACTGACATATATCAGTAGACCAGATAGTTCAAAACATGGTAGATGTAGGCTAATTAGACCAAGATAACACTAATCTGAGTATCAATTCACATGATTGTTTAAAATATTTCTTTATGAAAAAGGATACAATTCAGAGATGAGTTCATTTAGTCTTTCCTTCAATGAATGTTGTTAAATGATTTGAGTCTAGAAACTCGACTAAATGAATCCATACATAACAAAATAACGTTTATGAACTTACCTGTATGGTAAAGAAAGGTCTATTAGAACATCCTTCTCTGACTAGTGCAATACGAAGTTTATTTCGAAAACGAACAGGATATAATTTTACTACACGACGTCCAGGAATTAACGGTTGATGAGGCCACCATGTACTAGGCTTTTCTGGTCCAGGTACAAATGTCATATCATTTAAAGATGTAGGCTGAGTTGATTCACAAACAAAAGGTTGTATATTACCAAAAGGTGAATAGGAATTTTGGAATTTTACGCGGCCCAAGTTCAAGTTACGAAGTAAAGGAAATCTAAGGATGTATTTTTTTTAAAAGATGTCACATTTAGAAGAAAACCAACATAATGGTACAGTCATAGTAAAATTAGATGAAAATAAGTTTGTGCGTTTTTTCGAAGAGACAATATTACAAAAATCTCAACTAAGATCCAATACCATCAACATAGAATATTAGTGACATTGTAAGACAGAGAAACTAATTTACTTGGGTCTCATGATTATTAAACTATTTTATGACGAATACAGGCTGAGAAAGTACTTCTAAAACTTGTAAAGGTTTAAACAATCCATAGACGTGATGATAACAACAGATCTGATATATTACGATCTTGAGATGGTAGAAAAGATTTGTAGCTCAGGTGGATGATTTTGGTGGAGTTTTGTTCTCTGATCTGGATGGTTTGGTCGTAGAGCTTTCATCGCTCTTCTGAACGACATTATCAGCACAAACTTCAGGTTTGTTATAAATTCAATACAAACATTTGGTCATCAGCAGCTTACATTTACATATGGACAATAGTTAATGAGATTAGGCAAATTTACTTGCATAAACATAGGAATGATTAAATAAATAAATTTCTCAAGTACAAGTGTACGTAATTAGAGTTTGGGTCACACGTTTTTATGAGACCTAGTAATACTATTTGGTTAATTTTGCTAGCTAGGACCCCGCTTTGTTTTAGTCAAATAAACTATCAAGCACTGGTCTAGGGAGTAAAACACAACTTCCAACTACTATGTCTGGTTCGAGTTCCGATTCATCTAGTTCCGTCTAGACAATCAGGTAGCGTAATTAAGAGTCACACAAAACTTTCAGTTCAATGATGTGTACATGAATTTGAACTAACTTACGAAATCACATCACATTAAAAGTTTAAATCAATTAGTAGGAACGGTTTGAACGTGATTATTTCTTTCTCTATAAAGAAACCTATGATTGTCTAACCGTGTTAACCTATGTGTATAATTTATTTAGACAACATATTGATAGAGGAATAGTTTAAAATTTGTATAGGAATAGAAAAGCTTGAAACATTATTTTTATGTCAGTCAGTCAGCTACAACGTAGGACCAGGCACACATATGCGCATCGTTCCAAGTTGCCATACATTATTAGCACAACAAGATGAACACCGGATTCATAGTAGATAATTCAATGGTAGTAATATATAAAAGAAAGATTTCATATAAAGATATAGTACAGCAAGAAAGAATTAGTTCTTAGGAAGAAAGATATGAAGCGATTTTAATTTCATAGTTTAAAGGAAGACAGAATGTGTATACACCTACGTCATTGTGATCGATTCTGAGCCATGTCACGCTTAGTCTCCAACCATTGGTTACGATATTCACGCGGAACCCAACCAAGTAGTCTGCATCTACCAAAATGGCTAAGACTAGAAGTTAGTGACTTCAAGCACTGATGCCACGTTTTAATGTGGCAACTTTCTTCCAACCATCCTCAACACTAGTCAGCATTGCGCGTCATGATAATCGGTGTTCAGGCATAAGTAACACGTGACCCAACCATCCCAGTCGATGAAGATTCATAATCTCATGAACTGATTTACCATCATTCCTTTTTATGAATTCCAAAACAAGTGAACAGTTTCAATCTATCAGACAACTTATTATGGTTAGTTTTATAATCACTCAAAGTTTTTAAAAAGACAACTATAATAAGATTTAGTCATTATGTATATAATTAAAGCGATGAGATAATATACATTGATGTATAAAAAGCAGTATGAGTTTCTACAAAATTAAAGAAATAACATTCTGTTGAGTTGTAAAAATGGTTTAAAACCTGAGTTCGAGAGTTGTTATTACTTGACCACAATAATTTAAGCTGGACGAATTGACTTGCTATACATAATGTAATTGTATAATATTTGAATAATAATAATTATTATAGAAGCCTTTTTTTAAATAAGAATATTTATAGTAAATTCCCCATAGTTGAAATGGTGTGAATTCCTCTTCTATTATTTACATTTTATAGTATCAATCTAACAGTAAATTACTGTGGAGACATACTTGTACAATGCATAATGCATTATTGTGAATTGGTCAAATCTGACTGAACTTTAAAAAGCGATCCAATGGAAAAATATCCTGAAAGGAATAATAATGAATAGGGAATCGATGAAGTAATTATTATTATAATCTTATTACTATTATGGTTTTTAAAAGACTGTTGATAACTTGTTAATCTAATTCTTACTTGCCAAGAATATATATGCACTCCACACTAAAAATGAGTTTGTGAGGTGAGAATAGAAGATGAGTATAACAGAAAAAAGGACAAAAATGAACAGAAATTAGTGTACTAGAGTGAAATAATAATAACATTAATGACAAAAGCAATTCATTTGGGGAAAATACAACCAGGAAGAATTTTTTCAGTTAAAAAAGTTAGTTCTTATTATTTATTTGAACACAGATATTGGTACAAGGAGGCACCAGATACATATGCACCACACAAATCATACGGGGTTTGTATGAGGGCTAAAATACTGCCCGAGTGCCCAAACCGAAGCAGTTGGCTTTCTTAGGGGGCCACACCCTAAGCCTTCGACCTAAAGGTCTGATCCACAAGGCAGTGGAGCAGTTTTGGGAAATGCAGTCCCATGGTAGCCGGTGACCAATAATTGGTTCATACGCCAACTGTTCTCTCGGGATACTGGAGTCCATGTGCACCATTGGTTTGGAATCAGGGTTTTTCAACTCCCCTAGGTGAACTCTCCTTGTCCATCAACCTGGTTAAAGCGCCGGACACTCACTCTTATGAAGTAAAAGAAAGTTACAGCAGGATCGTCACTGGCTTCTATATCGAACTATTTCTGATAGTCTTAAGCCAATGTGTTGCACCATCTCCAGGACCCTAACCAGGGAGTCGTGAATGACCAACAGAAGCCAGCTCTGTACATCTTTCTTTCATAGCACATCATGTCGTGAACTGACCAACTCTCCACATTTTTTCAATCAGTCCCAGAGTCGGCAAATAATGCATGACGTGGGATTCGCTGAGATGGCATTCGCAGGATATGTCCAAGTCACCGAAGTCGGTATTTGAAGGTGGTGACACCAGCCGAAATATCGTCGCTGTGTGGAAGCACACGGTGCCGAACCTATGAATTACTAATGTGGGGTTCCCACTGAATGTCGGCAATCATTCGGAGACACAGAGTCGTTTAATATCCTCGACTCGGAGAGGCCAGGTTTTACGGGCATAGAGTAAAACTGCACTCACAGATGCGTTGTAGATCCGACCTTTTACAACCAAACTAACATCATAAATGTGCCAAAGATGGCCTCATTGGTATAAACCGCTTTGGTTTTCACTATATGTGAGATGATCTCATCACTCACGCCACCACCATTATACACAGCTACCCAGAACGTTTTGACTATATCTGCTCACTACCCAGGGTGAATATAGGTTCAGGGTCCTGCCAGTTTTATAAGAGTAATTTGCACTTGGAAGGTGCAAAGCACATGTCATATCTACGGATACTGATTGTCAATTGATTAAGTGCAGATTGCATGGTTTTGGTATCACCGCACAGTACGACAATATCATCTGCATACTCAATGTCGAAAAGTCTTTCTACAAGCAAAATATTCACACCACAATTAATTATATCCATCAGAGCTGCTTTCGGAACGTTATCAATGGCATGGTTGAGATAGGAATGGTGAAATCGGGCAACTTTGTCTAACCTCACTGCAGGCATGAAACAAAGAAGAGAGATGGTTATATGACCTCACTCTGTCTGAGATGTTTGTATATAGGACCTGGTGATTTGTGGCGTTTCAAGAGTTAGAGTTCCTTGTGGACTTCTGACTTGTTAGGTGGATCAGTTGTCACGAACCATGGAGGGCAGGATAATTTGATCGATGTCGCCGGGGTAGCATACCAGTTGAACTGCTTCTCGAAAAACTCTTCCCTTCGTCCACAACGTCGGTGGATGTTATTGACTGATATCCTGTTAGCTTCGCAAATTATTTGAGTCACACTAGAATTGTTCCTGACAGTAACGCGGATGAGTTTAAATGGCTTCCGGCAGTTACCAGAAGCAGCAGCTGCTTCAAACTTGTTAGCACGCTCCGACCACCAGGCTTTTCGGTCCTTAAGCAAGCTTCGCACAATTTCGCTAAGCCAAAACCTTCGTTCATGGTCAAAATTGTGGTCATCTGGAGAAGACCGGCGTGCTTTAGTGAGTTGTAAGAAGCCTGTAGAAACCTAGTGCCTGTTAATGGGACTCTGTAAAGTCACAAGCGACTTTACTCGCCATTTTCATGACGCCATAAAATTTCAGCCAATGCACATATACTTTTCGGTAGATTGATAGCTAGCCTTGAACCTAGCTAGGCTTTATATTTCATTGCAGCAGAAGCTGCAACCAATTTGCTGACATTGACCCATTTAGGGCAGAGAATTTGTCAGACAGAGTGACTGACTGAAGAATTTGTTGGCTACTGAAACGTAAGGTAGGGTCAACGCAAACAAGGGTATGATCAGAGTCCAGATAAGTACTCCAAAAGGAGCAGCAATCTTGTACACAGCCACGCTAGCAGTAGTTGGTCGTGATATGATCAATTTAAGTCCAGGTTTTATATGCGGAAAGAGGACGCTAGGTAGCACATCGGCGATGACTGCGCCAAAAGTTAGCACTAGCCAGAAACAGGTTTTAACCTGAGCAATTTGCAGTAGACAGTTACCGTTATCTGGGCTGCAACCAACAGGTCCTCATCGGTCACCTAAAAGACTTTTTCCCCAGACACCTGTCGAACGGACTGCACGTAAAAGGGAACTTAACTGGTGACAAGAATCACCCGCGATCGCACGCAGGCTAAAATCTGTCGCAGCGTAGGCGATGACGAATGGAGATCGTCCCTCATACCGATTTCTTAGTGATTCAGTTTTCTAGTCTAACAACACATAACCGACTGTTAATGAGGATCCAATCGACTAGTTGTCTCAACTCTAACGTTTACTGCAACAATATAGCCAGCTAAACCATACGATGCCACACGCACGTGAAACAAGCTTTTTGAAGTGCCATATGGGAAGCGAATTTGTATTGCTTTACTTGAGTCTTGAATACTAGTCTCGGATAGGCAAAAGACATCGATGTTGAGACTTTTTAAAGACAGCGAACCCTATCGGTTGGCCGATCTGCATTAGTGAGCGAACGTTGAAGCCGGTCAGTTTGAATGGTATATGTAGTTTTGGAAAGACTAGTTCAGTTTTCATAATCGGTGGTAGCATCCAACTTTCGACCAGTCAGTGACTTGAGATCGTTTAGATAGGAAAGGGTTTCCGCCATAGACAAGCTGCTGTATAAGTTGAAAAATAAAATACGCAAAATGAGAATAAAAGGAAGTACACAAGTGACGCAGTATAAAAGAAACAAAAACTAATGTTATCATATGGTTTCGAATATGATTTGTCAGAATGCAAACCGAAGCGAGAATAATTTTTCCAGTTGTAATCATCATTTGATTTGTGTTTAAGCTGGGATACTGCCCGCGAGCCCAAACTGAAAAGAGACCACTCACCGAATCTTTGACCTAGAGGTTTAATCCACAAGGTAGTGGCGCAACGTTGGGAAATGCGGTACCATGGTAGCCGGTGACCAACAATAGGTTCGTACGCCATTTGTCCTCCCAGGACGCTGGAGGTCACGTGCTCCATCGGTTTTGAACCAGAGTTTTTCAAATCTCCTAGGTGGATCCTCCGACTAGTGTATATATACCTTGACTATTAGTGGCTCATAAATTTTATGAATAGTTTGTCAGATTTCTACAATGGAAACTACTTACTAATAATTGAAATATTAAGAACACTACCTACGTAACATTGTGAGGACATTTTGTTAAGTTAAGAACTAGATCTATTTATGAATATTGGCAGTGGCTTCTAGTCCCAACAATGTCTAATGATGTTTCAAACAACTAGATTGGTACAACTTCACTTATGGAATAATAGAAAAACAATGAACACTAACACAATATAACTATCCTTAATTCGATGGTGTCATAAACCACCAGGTGTTAGGTAGTTAAAAGTAATTGTCAAAAAGTCCTGGACATAAGTTTCGTGCTAGTCGGAGCTCATCAGTAATGAGTACCTTTAGTCTTGAGAGAACTAAATCTTCCTGGTTGATTCGAACATTGGCCACTCATTGTTATCATTTGATTTATCGTGACATTCTTTTTGATGTCTCTGTTGTGTAATTATTTAGTTTTATATCAGTCAGATGAAATTACAATAAACTGTGTATGGAGTAATGAAGGGAATATTTTACCTATTGAATATGTATGGGTTTTAATAAAAAATTTGTGGAGAAAATCATTTATATACAAAGTAAACATCTGTAGTCACGTTGCATAGTAGCTAAATACTTATCGATTGACTTCCCGCTAGACGTTGTTGGTAGACAGTTTCTTATATGGTGTAGAGTTTAGTAACAAGTATTTCGTTCACAAAACATTGTCAGAGACCATAAGACCATCTTGTTTACTGACATGAGAGGTTGTGTAGCATTATTAGCCTATACATGACTTGTAGCTCACTGCAAAATGTTGTACATGTTTGAGGTTTACTTATTATGACAAACAGCTGATATAAGGCTGAATACACTACTCTATTTTATAAATACTGAGTTAAATATTTCTGAAATAAACGTTACTAAGGCAAGAAGAGCAACTGGCTAATAAAGTCGTTTAAGGTCATCAGCATAATACACTTTTATCCAAACTTGAGGGGTTCTAAAGATGACAATGAGTGATTGGCTTTTCCAAAGAAAACCCATGGACTTCTTCAGCTGACTTGGTTCTTGATATGTGAATCGAAGGGATTATCTACACTAGCACCAATCTGTACGGATACAAGCGTTCCCTCGTTGAAAAAAACCTAACTCATCCTAATTACTAACCCTGTTTTGACCTTTTATAGGTTCGTGAATCATGGAAACAGTTTACGAAAAATTCACTTTCTTAATTTTCTTCAATCAATTATAAATTCGTATTAACTATGTTTTGGTTGGCT